TTTTTAATAAAGAAGGTTAATATGATACTTGAAGACGAAAAATAAGCGAATATTTTGAAGTTTTAGTCGTCTGGTGAATTCGTAATATTTTAATAAACACCGATAAACTATATAAAATTCTGCTCTAAAATTTCTGTGGTGCCCCTCTTTGCTTGGTGCCCTAAGCACGTGCTTATATTGTTTAATGGTTAATCCGGCGCTGTATAGGTGATGGAAATTGCCTGTATCGGGCAGTTTCTTTTGCTTTGTTTGGTACACAGGATCATTTCCTTCATCTTCGCTTCTTAACTATTATTAAAATTCTGTCTTATCCCCAGTGTTACGACATCGAGAGTACAAATTTACATCCAGTCCTTAAAGACTTTAGGATCGTTACTCTGGATCTGAAAAACGTACTACACTGTGCAGCGACAATTGGCAGCCATTGTGGGATGGATTGCTTATTGGCTCTTAGCGCCGCATTGAAAGTTTCATACAACTCCTTTCAGCCTTCCACCGGCCCAACAGACATTCTTCGAGACGGGGGTCCATATTCACATAATGTGGACTACAACAAATCTTCCTGCAAATTTTATTGATTTTGTACCCAATCACTTTGTTCCTATTAAAGAGACACCTTCGACAAAGTCAAAAATTGTCCTTGAATACTTGCATTGATCGGAGGGACCAGGTCTGGAGATATCAAATTGCCACACTGAAGAATCTGAAAATATGATATCCATATGATTTATGCGCAGACTGACCAAAACACTGTAGACGAAGGCGCATGAGCTTCCGTTTGGTATCTGGGTATTCAGAATTGTTGAAAATATTCAAAAACAAAACCGTGAAAGTTAGTCCTAGAATACCAACGGGGGAGAAAAACAACTGTTATTTCATAGGATCACAACGAAAACATACGCAGAAAGAGAAAAAAGTGAAGCAAATTTTCGAAGACGATTGCGGAAGCTGGAAACAAACCAATTATACCTCCGCTCTGTATTTACTTCAAAATGACGAGGTTAAATATATTTATGAGAAAGGGGGAGATTTTGCATAAGATCGCGCCACGGAAAAAAACTGTCATATCCAGTTATTGAGCCACAACCCAAAACGAGTGAAATATGGAGAATTGGACGTTATTATGCTCGGCAACCAACTGGCTATGAACGACGAATCACTTGGATCGATGGCCACATTGGTATGAATGTGGCAGTAGTGGAATACAAGGGCATATTTCCTGGTCATACACCCCATGGAAATGCAAAGATAAACCAACAGGCGTACATAAGAACATCAGCAGACGTTATGGAAAATATTATATCTAAATGTGAAGGCGTTACTGCAAAAAAACTTTATGTTAATCTTCAACAACATGCGGAGGAAAACCCCAGAAATCTAAGACAAATCGAAAATGCGAGGTTCAATCAAAAAAAGAAAAAGCAGGGAGCAGGAATAAAAATATATCATAAAAATTACGCTGACGAGATATTAGAGGTCATTAACATGGCGCAAACAAACGAATTTGTACAAAAAGTAACCCACAGTAAAATGGAATCTGTTAATGTAACTTTATTCTTTGAAGAGCAATGCTTGGATCTGAAGCGGTTTTGTTGCTCAGGTAAAACTATTCTTGGGATTGATAAAACTTTCAATTTAGGACGAGTCTACGTCACAGTTACAGTTTTCAAAAATCTTTCCTTGCTGTCATGTAAATCCGGTGAACACCCATTGTTTTTCGGTCCTATATTTTTACACCACAAATCTGACAAATCCACATTTACAGAATTTTTTACCAACATAAAATCCAAACTTGGTAGAAAGTTGGATAACTTGACCGTTGGTACTGATGACGAATCGGCCCTACACGGTGCTTTCACATCTTCTTTCCCGGATTCAACTCATGTCCTTTGCAGCAGACACATGAGGGAAAATTTAATAAATTATCTTAAGGATAAGGTCGGTACCAGTGAAAACCTCCGGAGATCAATTGTTAGTGAAGTTTTCGGTTTGTTTCATTGCCAAAATGAAAAAGAGTTTGATTCAAAGACTGAAGAAGTCGTATCGTACTGTAAAACCAGGTGCAAAGGTATTGTTGGATACCTCAAAACAAGATTTCTTCCGTTATTTAAAAATAATATTTGGCAAAAAAAGTCACATACAAATGGATACCTGTGGACAAATAACAACAACGAGTCCTTAAACCATGTATTGAAATGCGTTGCCAATTGGAGACAACATAAACTTCCTGATTTAATTCACATGCTTGGTGATATAATCAAGTCGTCGTATACCGATGTGAGAAAGGCACTGTTGAAGCAAGGGCCATACACGTTGTACGGACCATATGCCCAATTTTCGTTGTCCGTATACACTTGGATGCTGATGACGGAAGTCGAACGAAAAATATTTCAAAGATTTTTTACAACGTGTTCAGTTGTCTTCCCCTGATAAATGTCCTCCTCGTCTTTGTTCATCAACTGATGGTAAATTGCAAACAATAACTCCATCACAAACAGCTGGATTGAAAAAAGGAAGAGAAAGACTCGAAAAATATAATTTTTCATTAATGACTATTAAATATGCAGACCTTGATAGAGTCGGCCCTTGACACAATTCGTTAATATGCCTAAGCAATAAACTTATTTTAATTGCATCAAGACATATACTAGCTTTTTTTCTCAGATATGCATGGCTATATTAAAAATGTAGTAGATGACATAGCCATTTTAGTAGGGACATAGCGGAAATAGCCATTTTAGTAGGGACATAGCCATTTTAGTAGGGACATAGCGGACATAGTCATTTTAGTAGGAAAATATCGGAGTCGCAATTTTAGATGGGACATAGCCATTTTAGTAGGGACATAGCGGACATAGCCATTTTAGTAGGGACATAGCGGACATAGTCATTTTAGTAGGAAAATATCGGAGTCGCAATTTTAGATGGGACATAGCGGACATAGTCATTTTAGTAGGAAAATATCGGAGTCGCAATTTTAGATGGGACATAGCCATTTTAGTAGGGACATAGCCATTTTAGTAGGGACATAGCGGACATAGTCATTTTAGTAGGAAAATATCGGAGTCGCAATTTTAGATGGGACATAGCCATTTTAGTAGGGACATAGCGGGCATAGCCATTTTAGTAGGGACATAGCAGACATAGTCATTTTAGTAGGGACATAGTGGACATGGTCATTTTAGTAGGAAAATATCGGAGTCGCAATTTTAAATGGGACATAGCCATTTTAGTAGGGATATAGCGGACATAGCCATTTTAGTAAGGACATAGCGGACATAGTCATTTTAGTAGGAAAATATCGGAGTCGCAATTTTAGATGGAACATAGCCATTTTAGTAGGGACATAGCCGTTTTAGTAGGAACATAGCGGACATAGTCATTTTAGTAGGAAAATATCGGAGTCGCAATTTTAGATGGGACATAGCCATTTTAGTGGGGATATAGCGGACATAGCCATTTTAGTAAGGACATAGCGGACATAGTCATTTTAGTAGGAAAATATCGGAGTCGCAATTTTAGATGGGACATAGCCATTTTAGTAGGGACATAGCGGACATAGTCATTTTAGTAGGAAAATATCGGAGTCGCAATTTTAGATGGGACATAGCCATTTTAGTAGGGACATAGGACATAGCCATTTTAGTAGGGACATAGCGGACATAGTCATTTTAGTAGCAAAATATCGGAGTCGCAATTTTAGATGGGACATAGCCATTTTAGTAGGGATATAGCGGACATAGCCATTTTAGTAGGGACATAGCGGACATAGTCATTTTAGTAGGAAAATATCGGAGTCGCAATTTTAGATGGGACATAGCCATTTTAGTAGGGACATAGCCATTTTAGTAGGGACATAGCAGACATAGTCATTTTAGTAGGAAAATATTGGAGTCGCAATTTTAGATGGGACATAGCCATTTTAGTAGGGACATAGCGAACATAGTCATTTTAGTAGGAAAATATCGGAGTCGCAATTTTAGATGGGACATAGCCATTTTAGTAGGGACATAGCGGACATAGCCATTTTAGTAGGGACATAACGGACATAGTCATTTTAGTAGGGAAATATCGGAGTCTCAATTTTAGATGGAACATAGCCATTTTAGTAGGGACATAGCGGACATAGCCATTTTAGTAGGGACATAGCGGACATATGGGACATAGCCATTTTATAACTACCGTAACTGTTGCCGCTTCAGTAAATGACTGTGACAAATGGCACGGATATACAGATATACCTAGTTTTAATTGATGATATGGTACCGGTACTGACAGCGCGCTAATAGGTCATAGCATACATCTATAATTGTGCTGTTCTTGTTTCTCAGTCATGCATGCATCCGTTGTACGGTACCGGTACCGTACCTTAGCATCCATTTCCTTGCTTCACAGATTAAACGGTACCGGTACGGTAGTTCTGTTTAAAAAATTCTGCGATAAATTGAATATCTTAGTGGTGGATTGTTTTGAGAACAGCTTTAGTTTGTTTGTAGTAATTCAGTAATTGATAAACCGCAACGCGTACTGGGGAAAAACTCATTGGCATAAAAATGTCGGTACCGGTATGGGATGAGTTAGCCTAGTTATTTTTATTTTTTCGGAAGCATGGACTTGATGGTGGAGGAAGCCGTAACCGACCAGCGGTTACCGGTACGTGAACCACCCTACGGCGGCGAGGAGTCCAGCAATCCTCTCGCACATTGCCATTGCTTCAACCATCTTATAGCCTAATTTCAAAAATATTCTGTAAGAGTTCTGGTCAACTCTCCAATGACTATCTTTTTTATTTTATTTCTTATTTATATACATTTAACTGTGAATCCTAATAGTGAACTTGGGGGGAGCTGACTGCGATGACCTTATGGTCGTATCCCTCCCCCCAGTCTATACCGAATTAACTTTGTGTATATTGTATAGCCTATATTATTTTGTATACCATTGTTCGTTTACGGTTGACAAAACAATAAATCTCTCTCTCTCATCCCGCATGGGATTCGAACCTGCGAACCCCACGCAGACTAATTAGAGGTGCGGTGGCGAGCGTATTCCTAACGCTTAGCCCGTTGAGCCACACCGCCGAGCCGCCGAAAATGTTGAAATGCTAAACTGTGGAAAGAATTTTAGAGGTCTGGTGGGGAGCTGTCCATTGATAGACTGGTAGAATAGATACCGGTAGCAAATTTAGACTAGCAGAAAGAAAAGTCGGATACTGGCGTTTTGAATCTTATCCTTTGTTTATCAAGCGATACCTAATCTCTTGTCTGCTTGTTCATATTTTCTACAGTTCTAGGTCTGTACAGTAAATTGTTGGCAATGTGCAATTCATATTATATCTATACTACATTACTTTTGTGTCTGATGCTATGTTTTCAACCATGCCACTCTATTTTATATCCCCGTGAGTCTGAAACACGGACAATCAAAGATCTTAGCGGGAAATGGAAATTCCGAATTGATGATTCACCTTCAAGGCATCAAAGTTTTGATGATAAATGGTGGAATCTTACTCTAGCAAATTTTCCTCAAGCAATTGATATGCCAGTGCCTGCAAGTTACAATGACATCACACAAAATAAAAGCATAAGAGACTTTTCTGGATGGGCATGGTATGTCAGTATGTGAATAGCGTATGTCTGTATGTAATATTATATTATCTTGTAGTTAGCTAAGAGTGGGATTTTTCATCCTGACATCATGTGTTCATATCTCACCTACCTTCCATCACCTCACCCAGACTGTGATCAATTTCAAAAGCAATGCTGAGCCGTTCCTTCTAAGAACAGTAGCCCCTTACATCTGTACATACAGACATATCAGTAGATGATTTTTTTAAGGCCTTATTTCGATTTTATGGTATAAAAATATATTTTACTTTATTTTAATTATATGTTATGTGACAGTATTATGTCAATGAAGAAATGTGAGGCTATCCATTGTATTTGGTAGTAGATGTTCAACAGTACTTTTTTAACAGTAATGCTAATAGGCCTATTACCGTATATATTTCTGTAACGTTTTGTTTTATTATATTATTTGGACTATTTTATTTCAGGTATCAAAAAGAATTTTTTGTCACAAAAGCATGGCAGCAAGATATGTATGTTTGGTTAAGAATTGGCAGTGCACATTATTCTGCATTGCTTGGATCAATTCTGTGCAGGTATATTTCAATTTTGCAAGGTTAATTATTAATGGATGTGATTAATAATATAACATATTCCTGTATTTATTTTATTGGTAAATATCCAAATCAATATCATTCTAAACATAGCATTATGTCTATCTAATCACATTTGATATGTTTTAAAAAATTCAGTTTGTTAGTGATAAGTTGACAATGATTGTTTCCAACCATCTTGAAGTATAATCATCTTTCTGTTTGAAACAATTTCTATTAATATTCTAATTCAACCCAATATCAATAATGCCCAAACTCAACCAGTCTATGATACCTAATTTGTCAAAACTTTGATATGTTTCTATTTATATTTAGCTCATATGGTCTAATATTTGAATTTTGATTCAATTCTCATCAGGTCCTGACTCATCATGGTGGTCATTTGCCTTTTGAGTCTGAAGTCAGCACCATTTGAAATTTGGAGTAAAAAACATCATAACGATTGCTGTGAATAATACATTGACACCGAATACTCTACCGCCTGGTACAATCGTCTACGAAAGTGAAGATGATCATTATCCACCGGGATATTTTGTGCAAAATATTCAATTTGATTTCTTCAATTATGCTGGAATTCACAGACCTGTGAAGTTGTACACAACATCGAAGACATTTGTTCAAGATATTTCTGTAACCACAACTTGTGATTCTGATTTTTCAAAGTGCAATTTAAAATATTTTGTTGAAGTACATTATCTGGCAAACAAAATCAAAGTCAACAGCCAACAACACGCTGGTCAAACAGTAAAGTTTCCCTTTTAGATACAAATGGAAATGTTGTAACGACGGGAGATTTGTCTTCTGGTTTATTAACAGTTTCAAAGCCAAATTTGTGGTGGCCTGTTGGTATGAATGAAAGTGTAGCATACTTGTATACTATTGTTGTTGAAATATTTGATGAAAATTCAAATTTGATTGATAATTATCGTCTTCCGTATGGAATTCGTACTATAGAAGTGACCGATACCAAGTTTTTAATCAATGGAAAACAATTTTATTTTCTTGGATTTGGTAAACACGAGGATTGGGATATTCGGGGCAAAGGATTTGATTGGTCTTCCGTCATCAAGGACTTCAATATGTTAGAATGGCTTGGTGGCAATTCTTTTCGAACCTCACACTATCCATATTCAGAAGAAATAATGCAGCTATGCGATGAACGAGGCATTGTTGTTGTGGATGAATGCCCTGCAGTTGGCCTTGATAATGAAGAAAATTTTGCTGATAAGACACTGCAACATCATAAAGATGTTATAAGAGAGCTTATCGATAGGGATAAAAACCATGCATCAGTTGTTATGTGGTCAGTTGCCAATGAGCCAAACTCCAAATTACCAGTAAGTGAAGAATATTTCAAGACTATTATCAGTTTAACTAAGTCACTGGATGCAACAAGGCCTGTTACTGTTGTTTGTAATCAACCATATGACAAAGACCTTGCAAGTGCTTTCGTTGATGTTGTCAGTGTCAACAAATACTTAGCATGGTATGAAGACAGTGGGCATACAGAAGTTATTCAACCAAAATTGGGCTATTATCTTTCAGAGTGGTATGAGGTATGGACACTTTTTTGTATAATTTACATATGCAAAAGGTTTCTACTTTAAAAAAAGCTTCCGAACAACCTGTATGGTTGTACAGCTGCACAATATCTCTGTATATTTGGATTACATCTATTATTTTGTGATTAATTGTGTTAATTAATTTGTGTTAATTTCATTTTTTTTCTACTATTGTAGACAAGACACAAGCCTGTTATACATATGGAATGGGGAGCTGGAACTGTTGTTGGATTGCACAGAGATCCTGCTGTCATGTTCACTGAGGAATTTCAAGAAGAAGTTATGGAAGAACATTTCAAAGTTTTCGATTCGTTGCGAAAAGATTTTCTCGTTGGTGAAATGATTTGGAATTATGCTGACTTTGCAACTGCTCAAGATCGTGGAAGGGTGGTTGGCAATAGGAAAGGGGTTTTAACAAGACAAAGGGATCCGAAGTCTGCTGCATTTGTACTAAGGCGAAGATATCATGCCTTGCGCAACCAAACACTGAGTTAATCAGTATATATTTACGGTTAATCTACTGTGATTTTCCTCGGAGTGCTACAATCTATTACCTTGAGATTTTTCATATCTCAGTGTTTAGCAATAATATTGATATTTTCAGGTCTTTCATATGTTCGATTCTAACAAGGCTCTCGGTAAATAGTGGTAACTGGTAAGAGCACTTGGTTTGAAAGCATCAATATTGTTTTTGAGTAAGATGTTAAGCTTTCGTTTGCCCCTAGGGATCTTAAACACTTTGTTCCCATTATAATCAGAAAATCACTTTTTTTCTAATTGGAACCACTTATATGATTCAAGTACATAGTTTTTAATATTTATCACATCATTGTGCAATTAATGTATTGAGAATTTATTATATTACCATTTTGTCTGTTACCTTGTTTTCGCAGTGCAGGTAATTAGATTCCCCACAATACTGGTTATTAAATAATATCTTCAAAATCATTATTTTTTTCCCACTAGAAAGTCAATAGTATAGCATATTCAGATGTAATTTTAACGAAGTTTCGTTTTGGGATCATACATAAACAATAAAAGGTAAAAACATTTCATTCCTCATTCAAATTATTTCCAAACGCTCATTCACGATATTTAGTCAGCTATAATTCTAATCAAATCATTGGTGCATCCCCTGATAGGAAATGATAATGATTTAAAATATTGTAAGAGGCTTCTCATTATTGCCCAAAACACTTGTGATCTCCAATTTATTGAAAATTAGAATGAAGCATAAACTTGTGTTGAATTTCTAGTTTGTAAAAAATTCATGTGACGTGTAACCTAGCCAGCTCATTTTTTTCAACTGTTATTGAAATGCAGCTTCACCAAAGAAATTATATGCAGTTTGTCCATCTTACTGTTAAATACTGTAAATAAAAGATTGCAAATATCCAAAATTATTGGACCGATCGGATATTGGTCAAATCATCGTATGACTCTTTATACTTCTGTGTAAATGAAACAAAGACAAGGTGTCACATATGACCTTATATCATATTCATGTGCTATTTTTGGTTATCCGATTTATAATCTTAATCACCATATTATCTATGCATATTTCTGGTTGATATCTCCCGATTACAAAATATAATTTATCATCGTACATATTTGTGTTTTCATATACAGATGCGATCAAAAATAAAGCATTTGTGCAATAATCAACACGGTTATGTATAGTCGATAATGGACTCATTGTTCCATTTAATGGTTTTGGCCAACTCTTTCGGAATGCTAAATCAACATTGTCGATGAAGAATGCCTCGAGTAACAAGGACATTTCCTTTCAAGTGGGATGTCAAAAGTATTGAGCGCCTTTATAAGCCTAAGTGAACTAGCTTTCGTATCGGAAAGTTGTTTTGTCGGATTGAGTATGTAGAACAATAGTAAAAACCTTCAAGTGCTTATTCAACCGTCTCAGGATAGCTGGTTCAATTTTTAATTGGTGGTAGGTGATTCCGGCGGCGGCATTGTTGGTTCTAACGTGCGGAAGGTGGAAGTCGTATCTCATGGACAGAATAAAACGACTCTTTGCTGCGGTTATGGGTAACGTTGTGCGAAAATTTCGAAAGAAGAAGCAAAAAAATAATAAAAAACAATCAGAAAAAGAACCGCACGTCGTTAGAAAGCGGGATGGAAAAGATAGAAAGCATGATTCTTCTGAATCCTACAAAAACAGGCAAAGATCAAAACGGCAAGCTCCGCCAAGAACAGACACCAGGGAGCATGTGGACGCAATTTCTTCGATCTACAGTTCATATGTGGCACGTACGATGACGGCTGGCAGCAGCGATTGCAATGGTAGACTATTTTCTGAGAGACGCCATGCATCGCGTTCACGACAGTTGTCCACATCATCGACAGCTTATAAAAATCGCCCAATTAATTGTACAGGATCTCGTGCACCTACACGGGATAGTGTGAGTGGAATGATGATTGTATACAAAAATGGAAATAACGAGAAAATTCGATGGCTAAAAGTGAGCGAGCCCAGCTGACAATCACAGACTGCCTCTTCTGGGCGAACCAGTAGCAGGCAGCATGTGTCCTACAGGTCCAGCGTAAACTCCAATGAACAGCACATTATCCCAAAAGTAAAGAGCGAAGAAAATGACCCGGAGAACACTAAAAAAACTATTCTGAAAAAATTCTGGGATTCGTCTTTGGGGAAGAGGTTACCGATCGGCGGCCCCTTCAAATGGATGCAACCCAAAAGCACAAATTCTCAAGCAGATGAAGAACAAAGAGAAAATAAAAAGCGAAAAATGCCACTTCAGTTGCAACGTGCCGGTAATTCGAATTGGCCGTCGTGGGCGAGACGATTCTTATGGAAAACGGCAACGAGAAAAAGCAAAAACAGTGTAATTCCACGCGACTCCGTATCCGACGATTTACCTTCATCATCATTTGAAACAAGTAGAAACAATTCCGCAAAACCAAATCGGCATTACATCTGGAAGTCCAAATCCACTAATGCATTACCTGAGGTAAACTCGGCATCTTCTAGTGACGCTTACGGATTAACAAAAAACTCTGAAAGTTATAAACAATTCCAGGTAATCGAACCCGTTGCACTCTATGAGGCTGACGATGAAAACGAAAGCCAAATAATACTCACGAAAAGCAGTAAAAACTCACAATCAATACATTCCCCACCATTTTCCAGGCGTTTTATTTGGAAATCCGCCAATCCAAATGTTTCAGAGTCAGGATCCCACATTCGCGAGAGCAGCTATATAACTGGAGACTCGTGCATCAGAGAGAATAGTGATAGACATCGCAATCAGCCTGGAAGAAAATTTTTATGGAATAAAAGCGCAGTAGCTACCACGGAGTGTGTAGTAACAGATCCCAAAGAACTGGAAATTTTTCATTTAGGTGATGTTCACAATTATTCTCAATATAGCAATGTTACAAGGAAAAAAACCAAGAACAATCGATTTGTATTCAACTCATATGACTGAAATATCAGTCGCACCAAAATTGTAGATATCGGTATATATAATAATAAAAATTATATGCTCAGAGTCAGACCATCTTTATGTTTTGATTTGGATAATTGAGGTAATGTTATTTATTTATTTATACTATTTCTATATATATATCTCCATTCAAAGAAACTAACGCATTATGAGATGGAAAGAGAGGTAATATTTATGGAATATCCAATTGATAAGCCGTTTGTTGAGAGCAGCTATTAAGGCAGCACTTGAGAAATAAAGTTAAGCATAAGTTTTTTTCCAATTTGAGAACAACGAATGAAAATGATTTTGCTGTGAAATATGGATTAAATTTGAATATCTAAATGCGGCTGATAACATATTCACAAATATACTCGTAGTATATTATTGAATTAATTATGATATGATATCATAATCAAATTGATATATATGTATTACGTATATCGTTTATCATTGGATTTTTTTCTAAATCGTATAAATTTTTTTAAACTTTTGGGTCCATTAGACCAGGGGTTCTCAAACTTTTGGTGTTGCGGAGCCCCTGAAAAGGTTGACTATTATTCACGGAGCCCCAAAATAAATGTTAAAATTGTTACTTTCAGCTTAATATTCCTGAGCAAGTTAAAAGTACTTTACTCAAGTTAAATGCTGAACCTTTTTAATAGGGTTAATACAAGTCGTAAATAAATCTAAATTTCAAACATAAATTATATATCGTCACGTTAAAAAAGCCGAATTGCGTAAGTCATTTTTGGCGATTTTGAGTTTTTTATAAAGCAGGTATTTATGTAATGCTGCGCACCTGTCTGTTAACTCAGATTTTATTTTAAGAATTCCGAAACCCTTAAAAATGGAGATTTAGTATGACATGCACATTTGTGCAATTGTTTCGTCATAATGAATTATCATTGTTACCGCAGGACTATTGTGACGTCACAAAGGCAAAATAACCTCGGCGAAGTATTTTCGAGTTCTTGCATCTCGGATTCTAGCTTAGCGCGTATTAATTTGAATTTATACCACAGTATAGGAAGGCGTGCACTTGCGATATTCACTGTCCAAGTCCAATTCACCTTGGTTGGCTCTTATATTGGGTGCATTGCTGTTTTATTCTTTATATTTAATCTTAGTCTTATTTCGGTGAGTGTGCAGAACGTGTGATATTGGTGAAATATATATTTTTAAACATAAAAAATAATGTAATTGAAACTGATTAGCTATTTTGGGGATTAGACATTATAGATACTGAGAATTAATTACGTTTTTGGAATGTTTAGTTTTCAGGACTGGTGCATATGGTGAAGTTGCAAAATTGCGTATGTCCCCAAGACATAGACACATTTCTGCCTAAGTCACAGTGCGTCATTATGCCGTCACTTAACTGCGTCATACAAATTAACTCAAATCCGGCAACGATTAAAAAATTGAACCATGGCAAATTATTGACTCTCAATGGCATAACAATATCATTAGGCAGTTTTTTACGTTTTTCTGCTAAAAATGACTCACGCAATTCGATTATTAGCGTGACGATATACTAAAGATGTAAATTTGGCACTTGACAAACATACTAATAAATTAGGGATCGAATCTTTTCCCATTTGACATTTTTGGAAGACTTAAAAGGCCGCTAATAATGTGCGCGATTGCATTTTGTTACAATCGCCGATTTTTTTCCTCAGCATGGCGTGTTTTTGAACCTTTAGACATCTTTACGCCGGTGTTTATTCTTCCTAAATCAAAAATTTCCCTCGGCATATACATGTATTGTTACACAGTGACGACGTTAATTGCTTTTTTGTTCTCGTGGGGAATTATGAGTTCAATGTGAAAAACATGTTACCATATTATAGTCATCGGCGACGAAATGCTAAAAATAATGATTAATAAAGAGGTAAATCCGCAACTCAAATTTCTTGATTGAAAAGCGGCATTCTAAAATATTAAAACTAAAACTTAAAATGGAAGATCACACGTTTGGTTTCAGCAGACTCACCTAGGATTGAAAACGCTTTTATAGACATTGTGAACCACAAAATTTGGTGTTATGTTAGGTTTTCATCGTAGTAAATGCGAAATCGAAACACAGTCAATTGTGCGCGCGATGTACCTTTTTTTCCATTTTGAAACTACCGACGGAGCCGCACGCAATCAATTGTGCGCGCGATCCGCGATGTACCTTTTTTCATTCTAAAACTACCGACGGAGCCGAATGCAATTCGTAAGACATTGTGATATTTTAAACGGCGATATTTTGCCAAAAAATAATCTCAAATGAGAAAGAACAAATCAAGTTTGACAAATCCCAAGATCGCAAAAATACGACTCCAATTTATTTATAGTTAGCAGTTTATCACATATTTCATGTTATTTTAGAATAGTATTCTTTCATTTTTCTAATCCTAATAGTAATCTCGAATCAAACGTGAGTAACGATGAACACAATTACATTATAACGACGAGACACGTTAAATGCTCGCATCGGTCATGGATTGAATATTTTATGCAACAGAAATCTCGTTATACGTTTTTTCATTCGCAAAGAATGTTGCGCGGAAATTTTCGATTCCAATTTTGAACCACCTCCCTCTTAAGAATCCTGGCTGCGCTCCTGCTCATAAATAATGTTTTTTTTTATTTCCGCCTCTTTGCCATATTTCGAGGCTATATTGTTGTCAGATTTTATCAAAGCTGTTATTGCTTCTTTGAACAGTTACAAAATTAGTCAGTATTTCGAAAAGTAATCGAATAGCTCGCGGAGCCCTTTGAGAACTTATGCATTATGATTAGACTACATTGCTAGATCATCAGTTTCCCGGGTTCGCCTGTTCCAGTAAACATCACTTCTCTCAACATGTCTATATACAAAGACAATAAGTGTCATTATTCCGCTCGATAAGATATTAAACAACACATTGGTTATTTTCACTAGTTATGTGGGAAGAAACTATATCACTAACAATTTCTATTGATTGTAAATGCAGATAATCGAACGACAAAAGCGAACACAATCAGAAAAATTGTTTTGAGATAAATAGTAGTATATATATAACTAATTTCGCTGAGACACTCAGAGACAGACAATGAGATCTTATACAGATATTCGCAATATTTTCGATTCATTATATAACGCTAAAGGGTATAGGAATAATGTTGTTATTTTGGTAGGATTTTACTGTTGTTTTTCAATTTAATAATATAAACCGGAGTAAAACCAGTTAATTTTGACTATATTAAAATTATAAACAGCCATAATTTTTTTTTTTTCACTGGACATAATTAAGTTGAATAGCCCATGCCATATCACAATGACGAATCAGTTTTATTATAATATACCTCAGTTACACACTTGTTTAGGACATTTTCGTACATGCTACTTGCCTATATATAAGCCACCAATTATTAACTGTTTGATTATGGTATTGCAATCGTATCGTCTTGCACTACTATCGTATTGTACTGCGATTGAGGAAGTACTGTGATGGTACGTTGGATTTGACAATGAAGAGTGAACGACAGGCTTGGGGAATCGGTAAAGTTTAAGCTGTTACGTTGCGGTTCGTCGTTTAACGACAGTACGCTTTCGTCCATCATACAACAATCATACAAACAATAAGTCAATACTTTCGTACCTATAAGGGTAGTCAGCCATTGCTGATTCACCATCACCAATGTTAATTTTATTTTGCTTTCTTCAGAATGTTCGCAGGTACCTAAGATATATATACTACGTATTTCATAAAACGTTATTAATAATTAGTATTAAAATAGCTAAAATATCCACATTTGTTTATCCTATAATTTCTGGTTAATTTGAGGAAAACGCTTATTGTTCACAAAAATCAGAGTAAATATATCATTAATAAGATAGCTGATGCTAAGGCTGTAGTGATTAGTTATCACCACACGTAGAACATTATTAAATCGAAAGACTAAAACCTGGTCGTCGGTGCTCACTTTAACCAACCCGGTCATTCACTCAAAGACTTTAGTGTAATTGCCATTGACTATTTCAAGTCTTTCAATACCAATATTAACGCTTCCATATTTGGATTGACGCTCCTGAGACCGTACTAAGCTTCCTAGACCAGGGTTTCCCTAACTGGGGTCCGTGACGACTGCACACGAGGTTCGCAGCGATATAAAAAAAAAAGTCTGAAACATACATTTCAACGTATAAACACTGTCACATATGCGAAAAAACAAAGAATCGTATTTCATTCACCTACGTGGGACGCATGCACTTAATGATTGAACATTAAGGAAGTTTAGGGCATTATGAAATATTTAATACACTGGTGGAATTGCTTTTCTTAGTGCTTCAATCAGAAGTAGATCATATATGGTCAGGTTCAGGTATGTCATCAACTTTTTAAAAGAGACACAAAATTATTTTATATCATTCAATTTTTACAAACAAATAACACTATTTTTAAGTTCGAGTTTTTGTTAAACATAAAACAGAGAGATCTCAGTTTAAGCTTTCAAATTCGTTATCGTTAAATTTCTGCTAATAAACATCGTCATACAAAAGTATGTTGGTAAAGATCTCATACGCCCATCATATATTTGTGGTTTGAATTTTCACTGAGCTTGAACGTGCATAACAGAGGCGCCAATTAGTAAAAATAGAACTGATTGATAATTAAATTATGTATCATTGTTTGTTTTATAAGGCATCTAGAACAACAACTTTGCGCGTTGTGAAAATTGTTAGTAATCTTTGAAAACACCATCAAAATTTAGTTTTTGAGAAAATCGCATAGTTAGTTTTAAAATGATCTTCTACGTAGAAATATATTTTATGAACATTTACTCATTTTATTTTTCAATATAAATTTACTAAAGTTTTAAAAATAGCCTTCTAGCCCAGGGGTGTGCAACCTTTATTACCGGAGGGCCAGATAGATAAACCCGGGTGAAACCGCAGGACACACCTTCATTTAACATAGACTATCTATAGTAGTTGCAGTCAAAAAATTGTTAGTTATTGATCATATGACATCCTTAGTTCGCACAAGCTAGCTGTTAAAGTATTGTAAATAAAAATGCATAGACAAATTGGACCCGGGTATTGGCTTCGCAACGCAAAGAGATTGGAATTACTCGTACGCATCAAATTAAATTAAAAACTCGTGTCGCGGGCCGCATATTATTCAAAATTGGCACTTTTCCGCGGGCCGCATATATTTCCTTGAGGGACACAATTGACCCGCAAACACTAGCTAGCCTATGAGACATGCCTATGTGCCTAGTCTATGAAACATCATTATCACATTGTGTCACCCAAGCAGGGGTGGGTCTAGAAGAGGGTCATATAGGGCAGCCGTTCTGAGCATCACGTTGTAGAGGGTAGCAGTTCCAAGCTGTAGAGTTCGCGTTATTACATGTGTTTTTCTCGAACTCCAATTTAGGTAAAATCTGACATTATGTATATAGCCATGTGTGACGGATTGTGTTGAAGGTGAGTCAACAATGCCTGACTGCTCACTCTCGACGATGTGCTCATCTGGTCATTGCGTGCTATACCGCGATGATACAAATATCTCACTCTTACTTGATGACTTTCACTTTATTCATTCTCATATATAACAACATCTAAAATTTGTTTATCCACCGAATTCGGATAGGAGTTACATATTTATCCCGGGGAGAGGAAAGCCGATAAGACGGCTTAATCATATGGCGAACCACGGCCTCTCGTCCGGTTACCAGTCCAGGTCGGGTATCGGATTAGTTAGCCAGGTATTTGTTTTCGGAAGCATGGACTGGACTTTGAATTATTTTTGAAGTAAGGGAAAATGGGACTTCATATCAGAAACTCGCACTGGGAAGGAGGAAAGTCTGCTCCTAAGAAAAAGTAAGGAAAAATTCGAGTTCGTTATTTTTGATTGCAGTGGTTAACAGTCCATCACGTAAATTCTGGATTCTTCTAGTTTCTTGTACCATCCGATTAAAAAGTATCGCTCCTACTGCCGTAGCAACGAGCGTTATATAATGATTTGATAATATTGCGAAATACACAAGTATTGGATTATATTCAATATGAAATAATTTGAATATAAGATCTTATTGTCTGATCCGAGTGTTTCTGAGAAAATACCTATTTTCTACTGTTTATTCTAAAACCACTACTTTAGATAATAAATAATATTTAATCAGACGAAACATACTTGTTTTAAACAAGTGAAACACAATTCTGTTAATTCGTGCATCTCCACGATAGTATTTCTAGCGACACACAAGTGTAACACGACAGAGAGTCTGAGGACCACTGTTTTAGCTCTAGTCCAGAGACTACAGACTCAAAACATATAACCATTAAACAACTAACTGTAATCACGATAATTCCACGTATATATTTATATTCACGGAGACATCGAACAAAAATAATAGAAATACTAAGATTTCGAATTAAACGGTATAGAGTATATAGACTATAGAGCACAAAGTATTTTCCACAAATAACTAGTAGATTTTTGGTAAATAAGGAATATAATTCAATAGATGAATTCAGCAATATCAATGAATGTGATATGAAAATCGTTTCGGCAGGAGCATGGGTGAAGATTTCTAATCGAGTGGTTCACAAATCTAATATTATATAGATTTCAAAATAATCTTTTCTTTTGTATTAGAGGTGTTGAAAGTAAAAGTTCCTTAGTCATGTAGTAGAAAAATACTTGGGTATTCCTATAACCGATAAGAGTTTTTGTTCAACATCTTCGACGCTTCACAAAATGATAATGTTTAGGTTAAAGTGGACCAACTTTACACATTTAGTAATTCTGCATGATATATTAAATCGTGAAAAATAAATTTTAGATAAGCAATTTACTCAAAATTGAATATGCGTCCGTGTTTTTTTATACATTTTTTTTTATACGTATATAAGAGAAAAGGCTCTTCGTACGTTTTTTATCAACCAATCAAGATATGACAATTGCGGGCGATTATATAAAATAACCAATTGCAAAAAATGTTAAAAAACATCAATTCTAATGCGACGGACTCTGTTGCATAATTTAATTAGCAGACTCCCTGCTGGTGCTTCCAATTAATTGGTTAATTAAGGCATAAACTATATAGTCCGAAAAATCTATAAAAGAAGGAGGTTTTCGGCACTAGTTTCAGCACTATTGTTACACGATTGGAAGTTGAAGACAACATCATGTTCAAATACACTGCTATTTGGAATGAAATTTACGATAAATTTGCCATAGAGATCAGCGTTGATACGCATTACCGGTTTATGAAAAGGTATCACAAAACGTTTACAGGATCATCAGCAATTGATGCCATGCTTCGAGTCTTACGATCTATGCCACATTTCGAGCACGTAACAGCGAAACAGTCTAAGTTGATTCTCAACAAATTATTACAAAGTAAGGTTATCGAAAACGCTGAACGACCGGGTAAAGTTAAGAAATTTTTACCAAAATATTTATACAGGTTTGTAAGAAAATTTTGTATCTTAAACTATATTTTATGATCTACTAGTTAACTAGTCAATATGAGGAAAGCACCTATTGTTCACAAAAATTAGGTAAAAAAAATATTAAAAACGTAGCTAAAATTATGGAAAATGAACTTCAGTGGTACCCAACTGACCATACCGGAATTCAACAGAAAAAAAGATTACACGCCAATAGTTTCAAAACCTAATTAATTACTTATTTTACTTGAATTGTGTACTTCGTAAAATTTAAGAATTTTGTGTGGCATGGAATTCAACTCTAGCGAATGTGCATTGTGTAACTATGGATTATAATGTATTTAACCCTATTCATATTAATAGCATGTAACATTTCACAAAATAGGCCACATTATGTTTCGCAACAGCGATAATGCATTCGTTCCATGTATTGCCTTCCTCGTATCGGCCGATTTGATGACGTATCGTTTCCGGTTTGCCGAGAGGACTGCATAATATCGTGTTTTTTGGTTCACTTCAGATTTTACTGCATTAAGAATTAAGTGTGTTTCAATTTTATCTGTATTCGGATTTTGGATCTTGCATCTTTTCAATAATATACAAAAATTTGGCATTCAACATTGTGTGCTTATTGACCTCTGAAGCCAAAATTCTAATAATTAGATCTATAAAAATATAAAGACACGTATTTTTTTCAGATTCTGCAATATAAAATTCAACGATCAACCAGAAATTAAGAATTTATTAAAAACGGTCGTGAGGATTGGCACTATGATTGATGTTATTGATGGAACAAATGATAGCCAAACAAGTTGCCAAACAATGAATAAAATGATGAGTTAAATCGGTGTTAGCTCTTATATTTATTGACATTTAAATCATTTTTTCGAATATTCATTTCTAGTCAGTGGTGTTGCTATGTAGTTTGATAACACATTTTTAGGTATTTTTTTATCGCAAAAGTGATGTTATTGTAATGTAAAATCTGATGTATATGTATATAAATATTCAGTTTGATGAATTATAGTTCTTGTTGTTTTATTTCATATGGGATAATTATGGCGGTATAGGATCCTGAATTTCCTCTGAGGAGTGACTCAATTTTAGTTAGCTGCTGATCAAGAAGAGTACTTGCTCCTCCATCTCCTTCATCTAGCCCATTTCAATCAATCAACCAATTAAAAATAATATAATAACGACAAATTTGCAAAATACTTAAATATACTATCCAATTAAAGTGTCCAGCTGCACACTAACACAAATGTACATGCGCGACCTAACTCAAATTTACGTAAATATATATGCAAAGTACTGACTAAATGGCTGTAATGTAGTAAATGTAATTAAATAAATATTTTACGTAATGCCATCATACCTAATTTGAACATTCTTATATAAGATCCAATTATATGCGTTCCATTACTCATTCAGTGCCAGTTTGGTATTCAATCTCGGCGATTGTGCGTAATGCAATCATAACTAATTTGAATATTCTTATATAAGATCCAATTATGTAAGTTCCATTAAACTCATTCAGTACCAGTTTGGTATTCGATCTCGGCGATTGTGTAATTTTAGTTAGGTATAGAGACTGAGTTCATGAGATTAAACGTTTGAGATCACGTTAAGCAAAATGGCACCCTTCATTCGATCCAGGGATGACGAACCTTTTTAAATGAATGGGTCAAAAATTATATTTTTTACCACGGAACGGAAGAGTGTGGGTCACAGATATTCAATCAATGTTTTTATCTAAACGAAACTTGCTGCTACATCTTATCTTGCAAACTTTATGAGTTTCAGTTGGTATTGTTTAGTTTTGGGATTTTTTATGCCACAATTCTACCAGGCCTACTGCTACTAGACTCTTTATGGCACTCGATTTTTATGCAATTTGTGTACTAAAACACGAATCTGAATCACTAAAAAAACGTTTAGGATCATGCAGCAAATTATTTTACGATTTCAAAGAGTTTGAAGAAAATTCAACTCTGACAGATATATATTTCGATCGGCTTTCAACCACATTAAGGCACTTCCACACTCTCCCATTGTTATTTCATATTTCTAGGCCTTCATTTTGATTAAGTCTAAAAGATTTTGTTTCCCAACGGCATTGTAGGCGAGAATCCAATATAATGCATAGTAGCATTTATAGTTCTCGTATATTCCCCCATAACAATCTGCAGACTGCCTTTTGGTTTCACACTTCCGAAATGGAACGCTGTAACAAGACGTTGCAAAATATGAACAGATCAATTGTATTATTATGTCATAAACGATGTCGCAGCCAATAGCTGCATAACGGACTAACGGTATAATGCACGAGTGCAGACGTGCGTCCAAGAATGGGAGTTTTGAAAATTATTATATCGACCAGAAAATTAAAATTTGTGCTATCGCTCCCCTGGCTGCCCAATTGATGGTATATTATAATAGTTTACTTATTGTTGAATTCAATTAGATCCGGTTTTATCAATTTTTATCACTGATATGTTAGTATGTTTTTATTTAATTCATACGTTGGCGGGTCACCGAAAAAGTGCGGTGGGTCACTTTGTGACCCGCGGGTCATTGGTTCGCCATCCCTAGAACCACATTCCATCTTGCATTTTTGTCGAATAAATTTAACATAACCTTCATTGTCGCTACATTCTGCCTGTGTGGCAATGGTAACCATTAAAAGTATGCAAATGCATTTGATAGGGTGGTCTAAAGATATAAAATCACCCTAAATCTAAACAAAAAATATCGCACGCAACTAAAACAAATCCACTTGGCAAACAATTTCACTGAGATACAAATAAATCGATAGGGAGGCAATTATAAGAATGTTTAGTATATGAGCACGAATATTGCTCATTCGTTGCAGCGAGGTAGTGTTTCTCCTGTTGCCCCGAAAATAAGACCCAGTCTTCTAGAGAATTACGAGATTTTCAAATATACAAAATTTGAAAACCGTTATTCATTCACATATGAATAACATTATAACACGTTTTTATTCAATATAACTGCAAATCATAAATGATTATCAATCATTCAAAACGCGTAGGAGAGATTTCTTGCTATCGAATAGGTAAAAAAAATCGCGTTATTGACTAGGTCTTATTTTAAGGTGAGGGCTTATATCAAAATAATTTTTAAAATTCAGGCTAGGTCCTATTTTCAGGGTAGGTCTTATTTTCGGGGAAACACGGTAGCTAGGCACCGAGTTTGCTGCAAACATTGCTAAAAACGTGGTTTACTGAATTATTCAGTTAACTATGCTTAAACGTCGCGAACGTATTGCATGCAGTTCCAACGCGTCACAAAAAGTGCTTCGATATAAAAATATGAAACTGCAGAATTTTATGTGGAGTGACTCAGAAAAATTTGAAAAAGAGATGGTTCCAGTAATTTCCTAGTAAAGGTGTAATAGCAACTTTTACATTTGAAGTACCATAAAGACAAATCGATTGATCCCTCAGTTTCAGAGAATAGCGATATTTTTCCACAACAACAATCCCAATTAATCCAAGACTATCACCATCAACAACAACGAGTTATAAAACTATGGTAATGACGTATAGTCCTCCATATTCGATACATTCATTGTCAATGAACTACACAGGGACCACTAGAGGGCCATATAGAAGTTTTCTCGACATCCCAGGATAACGCGAGCGTATGCGACTTGCTGGGTTCGAGTAATATATTATGAATATATTATGACTTTGTGACCCGCGGGTCATTGGTTCGCCATCCCTAGAACCACATTCCATCTTGCATTTTTGTCGAATAAATTTAACATAACCTTCATTCTGCCTGTGTGGCAATGGTAACCATTAGAAGTATGCAAATGCATTTGATAGGGTGGTCTAAAGATATAAAATCACCCTAAATCTAAACAAAAAATATCGCACGCAACTAAAACAAATCCACTTGGCAAACAATTTCACTGAGATACAAATAAATCGATAGGGAGGCAGTTATAAGAATGTTTAGTATATGGGCACGAATATTGCTCATTCGTTGCAGCGAGGTAGTGTTTCTCCTGTTGCCCCGAAAATAAGACCCAGTCTTCTAGAGAATTACGAGATTTTCAAATATACAAAATTTGAAAACCGTTATCCATTCACATATGAATAACATTATAACACGTTTTTATTCAATATAACTGCAAATCATAAATGATTATCAATCATTCAAAACGCGTAGGAGAGATTTCTTGCTATCGAATAGGTAAAAAAAATCGCGTTATTGACTAGGTCTTATTTTAAGGGGAGGGCTTACATCAAAATAATTTTTAAAATTCAGGCTAGGTCCTATTTTCAGGGTAGGTCTTATTTTCGGGGAAACACGGTAGCTAGGCACCGAGTTTGCTGCAAACATTGCTAAAAACGTGGTTTACTGAATTATTCAGTTAACTATGCTTAAACGTCGCGAACGTATTGCATGCAGTTCCAACGCGTCACAAAAAGTGCTTCGATATAAAAATATGAAACTGCAGAATTTTATGTGGAGTGACTCAGAAAAATTTGAAAAAGAGATGGTTCCAGTAATTTCCTAGTAGAGGTGTAATAGCAACTTTTACATTTGAAGTACCATAAAGACAAATCGATTGATCCCTCAGTTTCAGAGAATAGCGATATTTTTCCACAACAACAATCCCAATTAATCCAAGACTATCACCATCAACAACAACGAGTTATAAAACTATGGTAATGACGTATAGTCTTCCATATTCGATACATTCATTGTCAATGAACTACACAGGGACCACTAGAGGGCCATATAGAAGTTTTCTCGACATCCCAGGATAACGCGAGCGTATGCGACTTGCTGGGTTCGAGTAATATATTATGAATATATTATGACTTTGTGACCCGCGGGTCATTGGTTCGCCATCCCTAGAACCACATTCCATCTTGCATTTTTGTCGAATAAATTTAACATAACCTTCATTGTCGCTACATTCTGCCTGTGTGGCAATGGTAACCATTAAAAGTATGCAAATGCATTTGATAGGGTGGTCTAAAGATATAAAATCACCCTAAATCTAAACAAAAAATATCGCACGCAACTAAAACAAATCCACTTGGCAAACAATTTCACTGAGATACAAATAAATCGATAGGGAGGCAATTATAAGAATGTTTAGTATATGAGCACGAATATTGCTCATTCGTTGCAGCGAGGTAGTGTTTCTCCTGTTGCCCCGAAAATAAGACCCAGTCTTCTAGAGAATTACGAGATTTTCAAATATACAAAATTTGAAAACCGTTATATATTCACATATGAATAACATTATAACACGTTTTTATTCAATATAACTGCAAATCATAAATGATTATCAATCATTCAAAACGCGTAGGAGAGATTTCTTGCTATCGAATAGGTAAAAAAAATCGCGTTATTGACTAGGTCTTATTTTAAGGGGAGGGCTTTTATCAAAATAATTTTTAAAATTCAGGCTAGGTCCTATTTTCAGGGTAGGTCTTATTTTCGGGGAAACACGGTAGCTAGGCACCGAGTTTGCTGCAAACATTGCTAAAAACGTGGTTTACTGAATTATTCAGTTAACTATGCTTAAACGTCGCGAACGTATTGCATGCAGTTCCAACGCGTCACAAAAAGTGCTTCGATTTAATAATATGAAACTGCAGAATTTTATGTGAAGTGACTCAGAAAAATTTGAAAAAGAGATGGTTCCAGTAATTTCCTAGTAAAGGTGTAATAGCAACTTTTACATTTGAAGTACCATAAAGACAAATCGATTGATCCCTCAGTTTCAGAGAATAGCAATTTTTTTTCCACAACAACAATCCCAATTAATCCAAGACTACCACCATCAACAACAACGAGTTATAAAACTATGATAATGACGTATAGTCTTCGATACATTCATTGTCAAGGAACTACACAGGGACCACTACATCAGGGGTTCTCAAACTTTTGGTGTTGCGGAGCCCTTGAAAGGTTGAATATTATTCGCGGAGCCCCAAAATAAATGTTAAAATTTTACTTTCAGATTAATATTCCTGAGCAAGTTAAAAGTACTTTACTTATTTTGAATGCTGAACCCTTTTTAATAGGGTTAACACAAGTCGTAGATAAATCTAAATTTCAAATATAATATACTAAAGCTGTAAATTTGACACTTGACCAACATATTGATAAATTAGGGGGCGAATCTTTTCCCTTTTGACATTGAAAGACTTAAAAGGCCGCTAATAACGTGCGCGATATCATTTTGTTACAATCGCCGATTTTTTTTCGTCAGCATGGCGTGTTTTTGAACCTTTAAACATCTTTACGCCGGTGTTTATTCTCCCTAAATCAAAAATTTCCTTCGGCATATACATGTATTGTTACACAATGACGACGTTAATTGCTTTTTGTTCTCGTGGGGAAGTATGAGTTTAATGTGAAAAACATGTTACCATATTATAGTCATCGGCGATAAAAGGCTAAAAATAATAATTAATAAAGAGGTAAATCCGCAACTCAAATTTCTTAATCGAAAAACGCCTTCTAAAATATTAAAACTGAAACTTAAAATGGAAGATCACACGTTTCGTTTTCAGCAGACTCACCTCAGATTGAAAACGCTTTTATAGACATTGTAAATCATAAAATTTGGTGTTATGTTAGGTTTTCATCGTAGTAACTGCGAAATCGAAACACAGTCAATTGTGAGCGAACGGCGATATCAAGTGCAAAAGAACAAATCAAGTTTGACAAATCCCAAGATCGCAAAAATACGACTCCAATTAAGAATGCTTATTATTATTCTTAAGAATCCTGGCTGCGCTCCTGCTTATAAATAATGTCATTTTTTAATTCCGCCTCTTTACCATATTTCGAGGCTATATTGTTGTCAGATTTTATCAATGCTGTTAATGCCTGTTATTGCTTCTTTGAACAGTTACAAAATTTTGAGTCAGTATTTTGAAGAGTTCGCGGAGCCCCTGGGTTTCTCTCGCGGAGCCCTGGGGCTCCGTACGGAGCACTTTGAGAACCTATGCACTAGAGTGCCATATAGAAGTTTTCTCGACATCCCAGGATAACGTGAGCGTATGCGACTTGCTGGGTTCGAGTAATATATTATGAAGCTATGGTCAACTCTTCTCCGAAATGCATCACTATCTGTATAACGCATTAATTTCTTATGTGACGAAAGAATCCTATTCAAAGAGTATTATGACAACACAACTGAATTTCTCTGACTGTCGGACTCGGTAGCTATTTTCGTAGAGGTAAAATGTTTCGCCCGTCGCGGGTGGCCGGTTGGTTTGCATTGCTTCAGTTTTGTGACTAAGTTTATGGTCGTCGCAATATTTATTAGTTTATATACGACTGAACCTGATAAAAGCCAATAGAGTGATACTGCGCAGGTAAAACATTGAATGTATACTTTATTATGTAGGTACTATTCAGTTTTTCTAAATTATGTCTAACGTTAACGGTATTGAGATAAAAAAAAAATATCACTGAGTTGTTAGAAAATATTCTAAGCTCTGAGGCCACCGACTAAGCGGGTATTTGAAATAAAGTCCTAAGCCTACTTCGGCATGGCGTTATGTCAAGCGTGCTCCCATAACGTTTGTACTTTTTTGTTAGGATGACTAATTATTCTGACCAATCGAGCACTATTGTTTCAGAAGATGTCGGAATCGTACTCCCGGCTATCGCAATTTTTGGGATGAAGTTATACAAAAAGCTTTTCTTTATTTTGAAGTAAAATTGTTTCTGCAAAAAGTTTTGCCACAAATCACCCTTTCCAATGTTTCAACTCTTTTTATGAGCGCGCAACATTAGACTCCACAAAGTGCTGTACCAGTAAATAATTATCATAATAATAGGAACTAACAATTCCCTACTATATTGATGTACAGTTCATGAGTTGATTTCAGGTCGTAGCGTTAAAAATTAATCAAACGAGATGGATCCAGAATCAGGAACCTCTACAGCTGCTGAAGGGCAAGATTCAGCAAAACAGCAATCGCTCTACACCGGTATTCCACTTGCAAGGCGAATACAAGAAGGAGCATGGGGTATATATTTATACTTTACGTCAGGGGTTGGCAATCTGCGGGCCGGATCCGGCCACAGTTCTTCATTGTAACTAATCTCAGCATACAATTGAAAGTTCAAGACGACTTTATTTTCCTTTAGAATTAAAGAAAAGAGGTTGTCAGAAAATAAGGTCCATTCTCTGTCTTACATTAAAGTTTTTTGATTGAAGCTTTGGAAATATATTTGTTTAGGAAACTTTCAAAACAGAGGACGGAGGTCTATGGAAAGGTTGAAAAATAGAGTTTCTTCAAGATTCATGGGAAGACCAGTGAATTTGTATATTATGATTCTCGTCGTGTTTTTTTCTATAATTGGAACTATAATATATGTGGAGGTGAGTGAAGCTACAATTTAATAAATCCGCCAGAATATCAGAATATTGTTAGCGCTGATACAAAAATGAAAATATATATACCTTTCGAGTATTTAGTTCAGATCTCATATGCTTTTTGATTTTGAAATTAGTAGTATTATATGTCATAGTTGTAATGTACGCTAATGTATTTTTCATTGAACCACGGACGAAAAAATTGTGAAATCATAGCAATATAAATGTCTCTCCGAGCATCGACTTACTTGTTTAATTCCTTAACATTGACTAATCAGCAAGGTGTCAACTGTGGCGTGATCAATTAGACACATTTTTCACCCAAATAAAATTTTAGGAATGATGATAAACTCTCTTTCGTCATGATGAAATCGCTTTTTTCTTCGAATACTGGACCAATTGCTTTTGAATTTTTCAGAGGTTGAAGATTGATTTTTTTTTGCCAGAAGGCTATTACTTTTACTTATTTCGAAAATTTCTGTGGACCACCATGTGACGTGTTCATATATTTGAGCACAGCTCTCTTGTAGTTTAGTTGTAACGACAGCAAATTTTCATTACTTTAAAGATGATTGAAGCCGCTTGAGGGCTTTCAAATATTTATCATTTTCAAATATTTATAATGAACCCGCATATTTCATTAAAGTTTCATTTTAATTCAAGCGAACACTTATTTAAAATATGGGTAAGCCTACACTTTATTCTAACACTCTTGTCTGCCTCCATCAAAACTGCCCACCGAACTTTTCAGGGTAGTCGGCGCTAGACCGGACAGCAAAAGCCTTACCGGTCATACCGGTGCCGATCCTTATGTTATTTTGCTAGACATTACATTTAAAGTTTTGTTTGCATAGTAAAATATGTTTTTCAGAACTACCGCTCTGCAGTAATTTTAAGTTTTTTTTAACGGATCTTTGGTGAAAATAGTTGTAAAGTATATTCGAAAAATATGGGCCACAGCCCATCACGCCCTTTCCACTAATAAATTTCGCCGTATGAGGGTGTTACTATATATACCACTCAGTTTTTTTCTAGACCTGTGTTCAAGCATTGCATGTATAATTATCTATATTAAACAAGTACTATGTATAACATACTTTGCTTTAAGCTTTTCCTGCGTCCGAACTGGAGAAATGCTGAACAAGATCTCATAGAGCTGATTGGCGATTCAACAACGTTCAAACCAATGTAAGAAAAACGCGCGTTTGAGGGACAACTTTTATTGCATGTGTCGCAGTTACATTTTCGTTCAATTTGTATGATTTTGTTATTTATATATAAAATGCGTTATATATTACACATTGTTTGACAGTATATTAGTTGCTTTTATGCTATTGACCTGTTCTTGAAGTTTTGTCGGCACCACACACTTGCTTTTCACGACGTGCGCAATTATGTCTGGTGTACAAACTAACAGAATCGTGGTATGTCGAAGATATATGAAGCATAAACGTTCAGAGGCCGGATATTTATTACTTATCAAAGTATGTTGATAGGTATTTGTTTGTCTGTCTATCTGTTAGATGCACGCGATATCTCACGAAAGCGAGATTGAATCTGCTCCAGATTTTGCATGTGCATTCATCATATGTCGTACCAGAAGCCTATTGATTTTGGGTGAATTATGTCGTATAATTAGCGAGTTATTAATTAATTAGTGATGGGACACAAGGTGTCACTATGGAGTAAGAGCGCTGTTTTGGGGGATCCCCTAACTTTCGTTCAATAAGTCTTCGGTCTCTGACCGAATTCTCGTTTATATATTATTCCATGGAATGGAAATTTCATTTTCACTGAGTTTTCTCTTTATAGGAACAGATTAATCAATCTCGAACTTTCAGTAGATCGTCACACCTGTGCACATAAATTCTAAATATTATCCTAACAGGGCTCTTAATGTGCAGTTGTGAATCGTGATTTTAAGATATATAAATTAGAATAACAATTCACATTAACTTTTATTAGGATTTTTCAGTTTCTTAAAATACCAAAAGTTTACGTATAAAATTGTACAATATTGTAGAAATAAGACACTCAACCCTCTTCACAACACATGGTCGTATTTTTTAAAAAGCACACAAGTAAAACATCAATGCGTAACAATGCCACCGATTAAAGCTTTTTCTGTGTACATATATACAGCTGCCATTTGAACTATATTGAGGTTCGCTCATCCACTGAGGTAGAAATGTCGCTTCTGTCCCTTTACTTGTGAACCATTTACCTAAACACAAAAACGAGTGAACGGTTAAATAGGCTGATGAGTTTGTTACCCTTTGACCATTACTCCGAAACCGATTAAAAACGCGGAATTACAGACTTGGATATAATAAATACTAAAGCAGAAGGAAATCTTGAATGTTGATATTTTAAGACTTAGTTTAGGTAAATTGGGCCAAAACACAGAAAAACTTTATATCATGAGCTGAAAGACTCAAAGCTATCTTGCATTTTCGACATAAATGACAATATATATATATATATATATACCTGATTCGTCGTTATATCTTGCATCCACGAAAAATGATTCAACCGGGAATGTTTCATAAAGACGTTCTAATATTTTATCGTTTTCCAATATTGCTAGTTGACCACCCTAAGTAACATAAATATCACTAGTACAAATTTTCTCTATATTAAAATGTAAAAAATACAGTAACAGACATTTGGTGAATGACGCCACCGTTAGGAATTGTAGGTCACTTCTTACTGTTTACGAATTTGGCAGAATATTGAATTTGAGTATGCCTTCAATTACATATAATCTTTACAACTTTAAAAGTAGCAAACGCATGTAGGCTACTTTGAGATATATACTAGAAAGAGACGAAATTCGAACACATTTTACGTTGCTGTGCCCTTTGTTGGCTGTCCGACTTCTTCCTAATTATGACATAGACCATGCGTAGAAATCAGAAATATAAACTATATACGTTGTGACAAACTGCATCTAAAATAGTGTTAAACATTGTCTACACGAAATATACTGAAAAATAATCGAGTTTACGAATTTTTGTACGTAAAATCTCCCGGATTAACTAGAATACAGAGTCTTGCGCGCGTCGCCATCCGGTTAGAATTGTAATTACGTACCCTTTCCTCGCATTTGTCCACAGCATCTGTGTAGTTCAACCTATCTCTTTCTAATACATAGCATTGACTTCCATTTGACATTCCCCCCAATGGACAACCTATTCTCCAGATTTTGTCAACTTCACTTTTGAGCCAGATTGGACTTTCTACAGTTTCTTCCAAAAGTTCGGAATTTTGACCGGCAATCGTTTGCAAACTCTTTATTTCTTGGTTTACGGTTTCTGGAGCACAACAAAAATTTTATTAGTCCCTATAACGAAGAGTGGTGCTGTTAGTTTGCTCGAAGGGATCGAGCGGAATTGACAAATATCATTGTTCCTAAATTCAACTGAGCATTGCTCAAATACATAGAGATGTCGGACGAAACGAGGTAGTACCGGTATCAAATCTTTCTCCGTACCGGTAGTCTTCTAGACTTTGACCGACTACCAGATCGCTGCAAATTCGATCGCGGAAGCGCCGCAAGATGCGCATTTTTTTTAATTTTGTTTACATCATCATACAAAATCTCAAAGTGAAAAATGAAACCTATGGAGCCCACCACAGAAAGTTTCAAAATAAATAGGAGTAATAGCATTCCAGCGATAACGATAATCTAAGCCATATTAAAACCATTAATTCAGTAGTTAATGAGAAAGCGTCCATTTTTCCCAACAACAAGAAAAGGAAGAAAAATACTAACAAATGAGCTTTGGGTATCGCTGCTTAAACAACGAGCCTTCGACCCCACGGCTTCGCCTCCTTCAGTAAAATGTGTATTCAGTTTCATTCCTTTGAACTTTTCATGTTATTTTTTTACTGGACTGAAAAATTGAACTTGGCTACGACTCAAATATGTGGACATGAAGGCGAAAATAAAACAAAATACAGACATCAAGCTTGGCTAATTAAAATCCATGAATAGAAATTAGTACAGAGTTCAAATATCAGATCTCATAAGAAATAACAAAAAATAATAGCCTCTCAGCGACAACAACAATCTTTACTCACTGAAATTTTCAAAGCACCTGGTCCAGTAGGAGAAGAATAACAAAAACAACATATCATAACAAAACGATCCATATCTACACTCCGTGTCCTACAACAAAACGATCCAAAGGTCCATTCCGTGTCCAAAAATAAAACGTAATTCCGAACATATTATATATGTTGGCATATTCCACATTTCCAATTCTAAGTCCTACAGACTTAAATCGTATTTCGCATCAAGATGCTAGAAATGAAAAAAATCAGGCTGATGATATAGTGATATCTTTATACTGACCTGCATTTTGGGTGCTTTGGTTGCGAAAATCGAATAATTGTTTGAAATTTCCCCTACTAGATTTCAAAAGTTTGCTAATTTGCTGTTGATGTTTTGCAACTTCAGATCCGAGATATCCTATCTGTAGAAAAATTCAATAACCGTTGTCGGAAATATTCAAAAGGTAATAATAACAAAATGTAGTATATATACCAACAAAATGCACAGCAATAACTCAAACTAGTGCGAAAAAATCTTAAAAGTTGTTTACAAGTTAGCCCGGGAAACATTTCCGTCCCAGGGCCCCCCTTCGTTGTCATTAGGCCATAATGTAGTTCTGTCTTTTTGGTTACAGAAGTTAAATATAGTTTAAAATTCTGTATTTTTATTTAAATACATTATAATAAAGTTTGTGACCCTGAAATATATTTTTTCTTCCGACCACCAAAGTGTTCATTGACGCTGACCTCCCATTTGAACTTATTTATTCTAAAATTAAACTATACATAGATTCGAGAATAAATTTTTCTATAATGCGACTTACCACAGAAATTGAAATAAGGTGCAACGAAAACGAAACTGCAACAAATGCAAGAAATATAATCCTTATCTTAGACTCGATCATCTTAGAAATCAACAAAAACGCGAACGAGAATCATTTTTCGAAAGATGTTTGGAAATTAAACCTCCTGCCTCCCACAACCTTCCACTTTTAAAGTAACGGATACGCCAATAACAGTTCTAAATTGTAGTAACTGAATGCGGTTTACGATATAAATTCGCGTGTTTCGATGGTTATTATGAACTCTTATCGACGTCATCCAATCAAGTACTGAAGTGTGGCATGGTACTTAACGCCAGATAACACCAAATCGATTCCAAATTTATAATATTAACTACTTCAACGTCGTGGAATTTGTTTATAACAGTCTACTATTTGGCCAAATATTATATTGACGGTGGCGTGAGTGCCTCCTTAATTTCTGCATGAAATGATTGCCACATTCAAATTACGACGGACCCACAACTTCTATTTCTGTGTCAATTACAAGTAACAGCTAGCGTGTTTGGCAAGCGAAGCACACACAACGGGCATGTGCTTCCGCGTATGCTGGTTAGCACAAAGCGAATGCAATCAGTCATTGTTACAACACCCCCTGTGTGGGTAATGAAAAAACTTTTTGTTTTTATACATTGAAAGAGGTCGTTCGACGACCACAAAAATTTGTTTGCGGGTTGCAGTTTGCCGAGCACTGTTTTGATAGCGGATACGCATGTCAGATATGTATCAGATAATCACTCGTAATAAGTAAGAAATTATAAATAAATAATCAAGAAATTATAAATATGTTTAACGACATGTTACGGTTGGGTATTTTTGATTGTAAGATAACACAAACACACATCAGTAATAGGCAACGTTCGAAAAGTGCTCCGAATAAAAACGTGTGCAAAATATAGAAAATCACATGTTATGTTGCAAGAAATCAATATAGAATTAAACGTACGTAGTCATTATAATGCAAGTTTTTATAAGTTGCGGGTGAAGACAGTATAAAAAGAGGATGATGTAGCATACATCCACAATAAAATAGGAACTATTTCAAATTACAAACTTTCAAATGGTAATCTTTGTTGATTGACATTTAATTGTTATTTCGAGATATGATTATGACTGGTTAGGTCCAGGTCGTACCCTATCACAAAGGTATGCAAACGAGGGTTGGCAACATTACCACAAAGCGTCAGTATCAAATTCCAGAATGTCTTTTATTAAAACCAGACACTTTGGTCCCAAAAAACCGTCGACAGGCTAATAAATAAGGGTCATAAACAAGTTGGAAAAAATGTTCAACTCGCTCGTTGGGACGCTCGACGTTGAGAAGTAACGCAACTAATGTTGTCATGATTCTACTGCGAACTCAGATCTTAAAAGCGATCTTAGTGTTTAGCACGATAACACTGACGACACGTTACCATACTTTCAGTAAATTTATTGAGTGCATCAAGGCAGTAAATGTTAGTCTACTACATGAGAAATCACTCTGATTCTCACAGCAAAAACGTTTTTGCTCTCATTAATACTAATTAATATAAATTCCTCTGCTTCTGTTAAAATTTATTCTTAACTGACCATCTGTCATTTTTATTCTATTATAAATTTTTTGTTTAAACTGAAAAATATTATATTTGTAATGTAGTATAGTAATTCCATAGCCCACCATCTGCCTTTATTCCTACAGAATTTGCGATTGGTAATTTCGTAATATTTATTTTTTGTTTCAAGATTTAAATTTTGAGTCCCTGTTGACGATGTCAATATACACAACTAGACACGATTTATACAAAGCGAATAATGCAGAATACACGCACAATAAAATATGAACTGTTAGAAATTATGGTCTTACTTGAAAAAAAAACATAACATCATTAATTATTGCAATTTAATTGTAATTTAGAGATATACTTATACTGGTTAGACCCAGGTCGTATATATCCTATCACAAATGTATCCATACAAGAAAAAACAAAGAATGTTTTCCAATAAAACGAAACATTTTATTTGCAAAAATGCTAATTGCTAAAAAATACATCGTCATATTAATAAAATCCATTGAAATGTTTAATTTTATCGTTGATTCGCCGAGAAGTACAGTAATGAAATGTTGAAATAAGTTTACTGCGAAATCAAGTCCCAAAAGCGATCTCGGTGTTTAAAGTAGTAAAACTGATGATACGTTACCACAACAAGCTGGTCAATGTATGTCTACCTCATGCAAAATCACTCTTATTTCCACATCAAAAACCCTAATCTCATTAGTCTATATTAAACCTGCCTGCCTTGCGTTTAATGATTCTTTCTTCAAATACAGAGGAGGAATCGCCTGTTTTGCTTCCTTCTGTTAAACAAGAACTCATATTTTTTGACTGGTCATCTGTCATTTCAATACACTACAAATTTTTCTGGAATTCTAAATATAACCAAGTATACTGAATTACACAAGATATATAATGATTAGCCCAAATAGAGTACTCTTTTATTAGGGTTTTTAGGTGCAGTGTTATTAGATCGTGCCGACAATTACTGTAATCCGTAATCAGGTCAAAGCAGAGAGTGTTAAACATTCACCACTACTGTTATCAGTTATATTTATATTCTAAATATAAATAGATTTCAGAAATTAGATTTTCTATCAAGTTTTTATCAACCATGGAATATCCCAAGAAACGTAAAGTTGACAGAGAGTGTCGAGCATTTAACAAAGATTAGATACCAAAATATATTTTTTGTAATAATCCGGCCCACCGAGGACTTCATTTTCCCACATCTGGCCCGCCGACTAGAGAAGTTGCCCACCCCTGTTCTAGATAGTATGGAGGGCGGTTGCATTATTCGGTGTCGTAGGCTTTGAGGTAGACTACAAAAGCATTGTAACAACTTGTATAGTCATGATTCTGTTTGATAGTTTATTCAAATTTTTTTTTAAGTTGGACGGTCACCAATTCCGACTTTTGTGTTACTCGTATTCTATGAATGATTTCATATTATATAGCAGGGGCCAACACGTCGATCGCGATCGACCGGTCGATCGCCACGTCATGAGTAGTCGATCGCGTTGCCACGCCTGAGAATTCGGTAACATACCTCAAAATATTGCCTTGAACAAGTTTCATGAAGCGCATGTTGTGTGCTTTTGGAACAAGAATAATTTAGTAATGTGTACGCGCAAAATACGATACAGTATACCCATATAGTATTTAATAAATCTTAAATAAATGATGAAGCATTTACTCCACATACAATTACATAATCAAAATAACAAATTAACTGGGACGTAAAAAACAAGAATTTTTATGGCGTTTTCAGTAAGGATGCGCTCAAAGAACCAATCTTATTGGCAGCGGCGAAATTTCTTTTATGCGCGTGTGCAGTTATCATTTGTTTTTGTGTACGACTTACTGATCAATCTCGAGATCGCAGTCGCAAGAAGGTTGGTCACCCCTAATATATAGTATTTAGTATTATATCGTATAGTATTTATATATAAAACACTTGCTAGATTGTATTTCAATCAAATGTGCTGAAGCGTTGCTGGATTGTTAATATCAAGTTCAGGATTTACAGCAACGAGGGAATCTACTTTACAAGTTTTCGCAGCACTAGAACCGATTTAGCTTCACATTTTGGGGTTTGGAGAAAATCGCTTTTTTTGTAACAATCTCAAATTCACTAATGTTTTTACAGTTAATGATGTGATTGAAAAAGAAACGCATACGCGTGGCTATTGATATTTATATCATTGAAAGCTTCTTCGTGATATCTGTCTGAGATTGATATTAATTAAGCGTTTTCCAAGCGAGATATTGAAAAAAAGATACGGTCGTCATTTTGAATTCATATTGTACGGAATAGAACAAATATTTTGACGCTGACAAATAAGGCAATTGCACAAGTAATACGTAATACGCTAGATCAATATTTCTAATATTAATGTTATATCTTGAAATCGAATTTTTTTTATTTCAGCGGCACAAATACAGCACCTATATGTGTCTAATGTTCCTAGACAATTTACGATATTCAGAACCACACGAGCAAGTTCTTACTTGCAAGAACCCAATACGAAAACATGAAAGCAAGCATGCTTCGCAACGGAATCCGAAATCAATATTAATTTTTTGTATTCCTATGTTGGAATATGTTTCAATATTCCTATGTTTTGAGTATAAGTCCTTTCAATATTCATTATTGACAATTATATGAACCATACTATAAACATAATATATTTCATTATATGCTCAATCAGTTATCACAAATGTCCATGCTATATAAGTCGAAGATATATCATTCTGCAGAATATTTCTAAAACTAAATCGAGGCTTAATGAAGGCCATGCTTACACGCCTACAATATTGAAATGTTCATGGGATTATTTGCGTCCATTCTATTATAATAAAAAAAACATAATATAAAAGTAGAAACAACCTTCGATGGAAAAAATCAAAAGATCAGTTTGGCGTTTTTTAAATTTAAATGAAAGTCTGTAGAACACATACCATAATTTCCAAAGATGTTCTGATTCGTACAAAATTATTTTTGAAATTAGTGCAAACAATGTTAGTTTTAAATTACGTCATTAATACTCTCAATCGGTGTAAGACATTCAATGAACTTCTGCATCATATTCTGTCGAAACATTTCAACATTCCACACTTAACTTTGATACGTCGAAATTGTTTTCATTTGCTTCTCTTTGGTTAGTAGTGCCATGCGATCTAATATCATTGTATGCCGGATGACTGATAGCAACTCCTGTTTGAGTTCCTAAAAATACATAGCCACAAAAATTTAATTAAATAGTGAGTAACAGATATACTCTACTTCGAATTTGCGTTGCCGGATTTAGTCTGTAGAATTTGATATAGCTGGACAAAATGAAACTTTAATTGTATTTTGAAACTGTCATTCTATTCCTACTTAATTAACGCAGGTAAATATGATTTGACTCACTTTCGGCCATCGTTGTGGAGTGAACATCCACAGTCAATGTTTCCTCACACGATTGGACAAGAAATTCCTGCAATTTATATATTAGAAGAGCAATATGGCATTTGATCAAAAATATTAGTACACTGTGAGGCTAAGACCTAATATTTACGAAGTCGCGTATACTTGCGACTAAAGAATTTTTATGACTGAATGGTTACGGTCAATTGTTCAAACTCTTGCCATGTCATCGTATAATTGAAGTAAATTAGTTCAATAGGTATATTGTAGAGTAGATTGTATGTGTGTGTACATAAGTTTATAGTGCTTTCAGTCTCTAGGATTTTAGCACCAGGCAATTTGATATTATTCATCTATAGATATTTAGCGATATAAGCGCACATTTTGAATTATTTCAAAGAATATTATATAATTAGTTAGAATGTGAGAATATGAAATCTAGCAAAATCAGAGTGAATGGCTCGTCAGACTATAACTCCCCTAAACTTGTGAGTACAAGATGATTCGTGCAATAGAACGTGAAAAGTTGATTTACCTGGTCATCTTCTGTCGCATCACAACAGGAGCATCCTTTGCAGCATTTCATAGGTTGGCAATATTTTGAGCAACTCAATACATAAAGCATTAACAGTGCAATATATAACACCATAGACACGCTATGTAGAGCGAGAGGTATGATATTGTTCTGCAAAACCGAAGAGGAATACTGATACCAAACCTTGTTGTAAAATTTGATTTGATGATCTTACTTAGAGCTTTAAAACATTTTTGGGTGTGCGATGACCTCGGGCTTATACTTTTATGTTTGACCAGGGTCGCTAACATATTTTCTATCAACCCTTATGAAACCATAAATAAATGAAGAATCGACTTAAGAGGAAAAGTCCGACCGTGAATTCTTATCTTTGTTGAATACTTATATACATGAATAATAATAATAAATAATACGAAATGGTTGACAACAACAGATCGTTTCAATATTATGGTAATATAACAAACATGTACTGACGAGGATCCCTGCTTCCGGTGCATGAAGGTTAACTTTATTTATATCTGGTTCGCGCGATATGCGTAAGAGTGTTGAGACCTAGTTTTCAGTGTTCGTTTAGCAGCAAATATTCCGTCTGTATTTTGACACATTTGGAACTCAAATTTATCCAAATTGGTCATTGAATAATTATTTGCTTTTTATGAAAAGTACAGTCTTATCACTAATTCGTAGAACGAAATAATTTGAACTTAACAGCTCAACAAAACTCCGATCAAAAATTTATCACAGGTTTCAATATTTGCTTCCGGGCAAATTTGACAGTGTATCGAACTTGATTGAACAATTTCGATTTTGGAAAACAAAAATTTATATCATATTTTGTGCAACTTTGGTAATGAACAACGCTACACATTTCATATTTGATTATGATACTGAATGTATGATTATTCGACATTTTAGAATTATATTGAATATATTACGAGGAAAAGAAATGTAACTCACGATATAACCGGCACTGAATGCTACTAGTGGTATTTCCATTCCAATACCAGTGACTGAAATAACAATTCCAAGTATCGATGTCGTGAGACATACAATAATCTGAAGTGAAATAATAACATACGCATTTGAAAGCAAAAAATTGCAATCTCCACTAGACTCTAAATAATTGATGCAGCATATTTTTGTAAACGTTCATGTTTTAAAAATACTTACCATAATTTTAGAGGGTAGGCAAGACGATGCAATTCCAAAACAGGAAAACACCACCAACTGAAGACAAAAAGTACAAAAACATTTTACATTTATATATATATATATAAAATGAAACTAAAATAACAATTTGTTCCATGAATTCTATAATCGAGAGAGGGAGTGAGATTTAGTGTTTTGTCAAACAGAATGAGTCATCACAACAAGAAGTACATAATAGCTAATAATTGAACTGCTTCTTCAAACTTTTCCTGAGTTTCTTATACGAACAACAACAATTACTTGCTGTTCTTATCACGTTAAAGGTTCTACAAAACGCTTACTCGTTGTGGGTTTGGCTCTTTTCTATTTTCAACAACCAATCGTAAGGAATGTATCACAAGCATGCATTACAATTTGAAAAATAAACTCGAAAAGCTATCAGTATTTTTGTCTCTATTCATTATAAAAGTACCAACAACAGCAATACAACATAGATCAGAGATTCTCAAAGTGGGCGATATCGACCGCTATAACCGATCTGAATAGTGACTTCTAATGAGTGGATACATTAGAAATACGAGTATCTGATAAATCATGCATTCTCATTTATTTACTGCCATATGTTCAGCTGCAAATCTTCTTCACTTACATTATTTGAAAAAAACTATTGTTATTATTGAAATATAAGTTTTCGTAATATATATTAGATCCCAGCTTACCACTATTCCGAACCACGCTTCCATTCCGGCAAACTTGAAATAAATAGATAGCACACCAACCAAAATCAAGCATAATCCGAGAATCAGTTGAGAAACCTTAAATGTATATATATATGCATATAAAAATATAATGAGTTATAGAATACTATGATCTTTCATGTCCATTGCGTACAAATTGTTCACAACTATACTCTCTAAAGACAATTAGTGTCAACAGAGCGCTATCTACTATATTTATATATATATATATATATACAAAACGCTCTATTAATTTAACGACTGCACCAACCGTTTGTGGCATTCAACTATTATGACAAATCGTCACTGAGTTAGATTCTACCAGAACCAGATTGACTGTGTGAAACAGAGTTTTAATTCATGGCACCCATTTCGTGGCGCATTCGTTTAATAAGCTAGAACCTGTCAAAAATTGTTCAACTTACAGCTAAGATCATCGTCCTCTTTCTATACTTCTTTGTATATTCAATACCATATTGGTGTCGGTTAATTTGCGCCGTGCCACTCATAGGGTGACGTATTGACGGGGAGGAAATATCCGGCGAAGGAGAGTACCTCGACATTTTTGTGTGCTGTTAGGAAATGACGTACTAGTAAAGACTTCTGTAAATCAAGGGAAATTCCATAAAAAGGAGAGAAAACATATTTTTTTTTATATTTTGCTGAAGTTTGAAGCCTTTGGTAAAATACCATACATTTATTCAATATGAATATTCGCACAATTTAACCTAATATTTTTCAAACCGCTCTACATTTATAGATTTGATCGAAAATCTTTCCAAGCCATGCTTATATACCGTCCTCAACACTAAATCAACAGTTTTATAAAATCTCATTGGTTAATCATTGACTCTTCGAGTTGATTTTTCTGAAATAAAAAATGTATCTTGATTCAATAAATCCCGCTCCTGCTTGTAACTCTATTGTCAAGAATATAATCAGGTTTCCGTGAAATAGTTGAAGCGAATGAATGAAATTATTTATTGAAAATGAACGAATGATCATAAAAGATGATAGTTTACAGTCAGAATTCCTCAAACTAAGCTCTTGGCGACCCTGGGAAGCCACTGACAGGTTCTCGTGCAAAAAAGGCCTGAACTTGGTACCATTTTCAATGACTATCAATTTAAGGTAAATTAACTGTCATTTGAATATTTATTCTTTTTTTATTATGAAACTTGGCGCATAACATAACTGATGGAAACGCGTTAAAAACAAAACTAGATGTGTTTATCGAAGACCATGGGGTCACAAGTGTTGAAAAAGTTATTGGAAGGGGGCCACGGAGCACAAAATTGTGAGAACCACTGGTTTACTTAATTCGGGTTCAAACTTTGGCGAATGTTTACGGGCGCATCAGTCGTCAAGCTAATTTACTGCCATCTGATTAAAAACAATGTAGCCTGCTCGAAAAGAAGAATGGATCGTATTGGCTCATAGAAACTACCCACAAATGTAGAACACTAAGACCGATATCTTTCCGTCTTACCCGAATTACAATAACCCATGATGGTAAGGGGGTCGGTCATGAGATCGCTAACCTGCAACATAACAAGCACCCTAATATTCCTTTTATTGAAGATTCAGTCTTCATGCTTATGTCTGATATATACTATTTGATTTCATTCGTGGACATCATTATAATATTTCTGTTTCACAGGGTGATACATTCGAAGTACTCAGCCTGAATACATCAACGCCATCACACGCAAATAGTAAGATTACCCATATTGGCAAACTTTGTTAAATTTCCGTCGCGTTAGTTACGATTTTTTGTCCCATGGTGGATTTCCGAATAAATTACCTATTTATTCCAAACTTTTGTTCTCTCTGATCCTGCTGCGTCTGACGATGTTAGGTCGCTTTCCCCATCTAACTTTGTGTTCTACATACAGTTCTTGGACGATAAACATCGGAAGAACATTCAGCAAATATTGCTCAGAAGTCTTTATCCTGATAAATTTTAGTACTGACGCAATTCGTATCGATCGGTTATACTGTATTATTATATGTTCACTTCTCCCGCCGTCACAGTGGAATTTATTGTTTACTGATAAATATACGAGGTATATTAGCCACCTTGACAAACAGCATTTTTTACTACAATGAAATATACATCTAGAACCGATAGCTATATGGTCTCTATTGAATGTATTGACCTAAAAAAAACTTTAGTGACTTCCTAAAAGTGAGCCAGCCCAAAATGGGTCACCGTAAATGTTGAAATTTTTTTATCTTTTTTTTTACTGGGGGCATAGGTGGGCTGTGATACCTCTGGTTTACATGCCTCAAACCCTCTTTATTACGATGTAATAACGTCTTCAATTCGTTTTCGTGTATTTTATAAAATGCTTTGATTATGTAAGTTCAAGAAAAAATACATTTCTAAAACTGAACAGGATCAGCTATGTTATGGGGACAGAGCTTGTACAAGTTAAGAAAGAAGTATGTCTGAAATTTCAACAAATAACCGTTAAATTTTATTCATGTACACACAAGAACCCACTTTTTTCAATGAAATTTGCTTAATTAAGGCAAGATCATGCGCACTGACTCATAAACAAATTGACTTCTTTGTGAGTTTACCCCTGAGACTATAAAGAATTATAGCGCAGGTTCATGCCAATACCATCTGTAAAACAGACACGATCTTGTGAACTCCTCACAACTGAAGTTCTTTGAATAATGTTTTTACGACTGATAGGTACACTGACTGTAAGCGGGTGAGAGTTAATGGCCAACCGAGTTTGAAGACTGAGAGCCTTTATCGAGGGACAGGTTCTGAGAGTTCAAAAGAACACAGTCCTTAAAATATTTGTGGAATGTTGGTTCCGGGGCATAGGGCTATATGGGAGCTGTGAAAGTTTATTTGTAGAGTTAAAAAATTTCTTTTCCTGCATTAATAGTTGCAAATTAGCATAGTGAGAATGATGATTAATCAAACTCAAACGCATACACTTCATAAGATATTTGAATCTGCGTTTTGCCGATTATGCACATATTTGTTGCTAATAGAAGCAATAAAATGAAAAGTGCCTTTCATGTCATGTGGGCACAAACTACCAACTATGAAGCATATTGATTATAAACCAAACTCAGTTGGTACTGGCAACTGAAAAAAGGAATGAATGCAGGTGGTATTTCATTTGACAGTTTTGAAACAGAACATTTATCAGAAATTACCTAAAAGTATGGTATGAACACAGTAGTGTGTTATGCAGCAGATAAATGGAATATTTTTCTCACCACCATTATCAATCAGTACCCCAGAACATGAAATTAGAAGTAGTAAGAAAATGATTTTCCCTGCGTTTTTTTTTTGTGCAGAACTGATTGTACAGTTTGGTCTATTTCATCTATGATAGAATTTCCAAATTTCTGACATAGCAACAATAAAAGCTTCATTTGCTAATAACTTCATCAGGCATCTTTTGAAATTAGGGCTAAAAAGCCCTTAACATTAGAACTGACAATGGACCGATGAGGAAAATACTTTCGAACATGAATGACAACAAGCTAGCATCAACGAATGTGTCAACTAAAATCAATGCCATATCTGTACGGGGATAAATTACAACTAATCCCATCCTTTCTTAACAATATTATATTTTGGCTATCACCAATTCAATGCTCATTAAATTACCCAATATCAATTTGCTGATATTCAGAAAGAACATGGTAACAGCCTTTCATTTCATGGTGAGCAAAAAATATTTTTTAAATCTCTCCATGTGTACATTGTTGAGTTCGCAATGATAAGTGGAATTCATCAAGAATATTGACATGTAAAGTGATATCAATTCAGTCAAAGTACCTGACAATACCAGTGTATTTATACCAATCCAGAGAGTTCTATCGAATGCAAATATATAAAAAATATTTCTGATGATTCAAGAATGTTCAAGTTTATTTCTTAATGCTACTCCTGTAAGAACACAGGTTGATTGAGTTTAAGTCCACGAGCTTTTCCACATTTCCTAAAGTTGATAAACAACTCAAATGCTCATAATAAGCCTTGTCTTTTCAGGTCCTCGTATGTCTTTTTTGAGACAACATTTCCAGCAGAGTCTTCATATTCCTCTTCTTGGTCTGGATTCCATCTCTCTGCATTTTTCATTTCTTTAATTTTTGACCACAACGCCATCGCATCTTCAATTTTTGTAACATTGGCAAAATGGGCAGTGTTAGGAATACCAAGGCAACGCATCCCATGTGCATGACGCCATTCAGCAAAATGTCGTTGAAATGCCTTTGGTCCTCTGTAAGTTTGATTTCCGCAAATCTCACAGCTGTAGTTGATATTAAGACCATGGAGTTTATAAAGCCAGTAAGGGATCGGTTTGCCATCCCAGCCAAGAGGAAGATTCTTGGGATTATAAATCACTTCATCCTCATCATCTCCTGAATCACTATCAGACATAACATCATCCTCATCTTCATCACGCTCTGTATCAGTACGTGCTTGTCGACGTTGTACATTATCCCTTGTGGCAGCCCTTTGTTCACTAACAAGCTCAACTAGGTGATATATTTGTGCCTCTACCATGGCAGTTTCTTTATTGCGTTGAGATGTTAAATCCTTCTTTCCAGCTTTAAGTTTACTTTTAGAATACAATGATGTTTCAATTTCATCCATGGTTTTGCCTTTCGTGCTGAACAATCTTTCAGCTCTTTGCTCTAAAGTTCCACCACACTTCAGACTCAATGCCATAAGCGCAGACTTCAACCTATCAAGACCTAATGATGCAAGTTCTTCTGCTGATGTGAAAGCACTTAGGTCAAGATGAGCTCCAGAATGAGCCATCGCACTTCCGGCCTCTTTACCCCAGCCAGGAAATTCATTTGTTTCCCATTGCAATTCAAACTTTTTCAAAACTTCATCATGCTCGACATTCAAGTCGAGTAAAGGTTTAATGCGTTCAACAAAGGATACAAGATACTGCAATAAACCATCAATGTAGTCATGATATTGAGTATTTTTCCTATCTCGTGGAATTTCAAACAAGCGATCGAATGCATCTAAATATCTAACATAAGTTAGTTTTTCAATGCCTTTTATGTTGATATAACGCAAGTGTGATTCATGTAAATCTAAAAAGCGACCATAAGACTCTTCATCAGTAAATTCAACAAGTATTGTTGCTTCATCGCTTGCATTTTCTCTTGCTTGATTCAACTCTTCAAATTCCATAGACATGGGAACAAACACTTCATTTGGATGTTTTTTGTGAAAATCTTTGATTTCGCGTAACCGTTTATAAAACTCACCAAATTCATTTGGACCCGCAATTGCTTGTATTTCAGCTTTTCTTAAACCGTCCTTGTCTTCATACAGCTCCTGTAATCTAACTGAATTGTCCATAACACGATCTAGCAGATGCCTCATTCTGTGGTCTGAGTTGATTTGTTCACGAACCGCTGATTTCTTATGCATGCTTTCCTTTGTCATAGCATCATATAAACGCTCTTTTTCTTCATGCAGCCTACGCTGTTGTTCTAACGTGGTCTCCATCGCAGATAACGAAAAACCAGGACCATAAAAATCAGCAACAGCGAACGTCCCGATAGGTATAACGTTACACAAACACAGCAAGCCAGTCGAATTCGAAAATCTGCTTCGAAGAGTGAACTGAACTGTCGAGGTGCTTTTCAAGATGAGTAGTTTGATGGTGATGCCAGATTTTTCGTGTTATTTTTGCTTCCATTTATATTATGGCGTGAATTTATCAAACAATAACCGTTAAACAAATTTACATTCATTATTTAATATTTTAAATAAGTTTCTTCTCAACAATGGTATGTTAGTCGTTGAGTTATACTGTCACTTCCGGCAGTATTGTACTAATGATTGGTGATCCAGGTATGGGTAATTTTAAACCTTATCTCGTCTCTATTTTATTCACAAATTTACATATGTACTTGTTTCCATGCCAGATATATATCTAAAACCTCCGAATTCTATTGGGCTATATCAGGGGCTCCCAAACCGTAGTAGTATATATTTACGCCCAAACCGCGGCCGCGGGCCAACTCGGGCCCGCGTAACGATTTAAAATGGCGCGCCGAGCTTAAGTGAAATAGATTTTGTTTCTACCTTTTTACAACCTAGAAACCGCCAGTTGTTATGTCGTAATCACATTTTAAGCTCGTGTTCTTGGTAACAATTCGATTATGCCGGTATCTCAGTTATACGTACCGGTATGAGGATTACATAGGGCAGTAATATAGTTATCAGTCAAAATAATAACCTAGACTTTGAAAACAGACTTTACTCGGATAAATAGCATCGTTCGTGTTTCTTTATTAAAAAGAATCACACTTCAGAGATTTGCCCACTTTGCCAACGAACTATTCCAATTCTGAAACAATACCAGATAAAGCGCCATTATGAGTCAAACAAACATGTTTCAAAAATGTCAAATGTAAATCCACTGAACCCCAGCTAAACCGTCGCATACTTTCGGGGCACTACATACTTCCGGCCCGCGAACATCCTTCCGATTTAAATTTTGGCCTGCGGTCAATAAAGTTTGGAAACCCCTGGGCTATATGTATCAATCTTTGTGGAACTCTAAATGCAATGCAATATAATTTGAAAGAATACAGAACTGAGAATGACATGCATTTATTTAATCATTGGTAATATATAGGCTTACCATAAATCTGAAACAAAAAACCGGGACGGTGCGATTTGGCAAACATTCGGTCGATTGCCAGTCTTTGTAATATTGAAACGTCTACCATGTCATTAAGGGTATATACGGCTGTAAATCTCTACTGATCATTGAATTAGGAAGAACATAAAAAAATAGTTTGTACGAGTATTATTTATTTAGACCAAAAGTATTGTCCGCAGATGGAACCCTTCTCAAAAATTCATGTTCTGATTTTTTCATAAAACTGATAACAAGAGACATCACCATTAAATTTGCAGGTCACGAGTGCTTTTATATATTCTTCTGGCATTCTGAACCTGCTTTCGGATCAAAAAATTTTAACAATGGAGAAAATCCGTTCAACAGATGCCGATGTTCCGGCAAACAAAATCTACGAGTTTCTGCAAATTCGAAATGCTAATATTTCTGTTAGAAAAAACGTTAAACATCTCTGTCCACTTAATTTCAACCGGCAAAGTAAGCCAAATTGCTTTGGAACCATGCTCATTTAAATGAATATATCTCTTCATTGGTATTTGTCGAAAAGTGCATCGCTATTCAAAATCTGACTAGCCAACCAAACATATATATCATTTTACAGTGGCGGCGCGTCAATAGAGCCAACCGGGGCAATGCCCCGGTTGTTTTTTCGGTATAATAAAAAATATTCGAAAAATACCTCAATATCGGTTGCACATACTGTCTACACTAGCCATATTCTCCCGACATGGTTCATTTTCCGCTCGCAAAGCCTTCGCCGAACGTCGACGGGGCGACGCCGATTTTGCCCCGGTTGCTCATTGTATATCGTATTCTCTCTTTTATCTTCCACTCGCCGCGTTTGTCTCGTTTGTTTTCTGTTTCTTTTACTAAATCATCGGGGCCGAATTATGACGACACAATGCCGACGTTTCTTACAACAACGTGTTGACATATTCACGCATTCCTTCTCGTTCGTTGGTTGCTTGAAGAGTTGATAGTTTCCTCGCCTTCGTTTGTGTCGCTTGTTTCGCTATTTGAATCAGTTAGAGACCTTTAGTCCATTTGCTTTCGATTTTCCACATTCCTTTTGAGCTCCTCACTTCTTTCCGACTTCACATTTCTTAGCCTTAGACCTCATAATGAATAAGGTTGATGCACTACGTCGCACTCCGTTTTCGCAGCTGCCGCTGGTACAACGTCTTGGGCCTTATCAACCAAAAAATTGTTCACTGGAACAATCCCATGACGGAGGAAAGCGTCGGCGTACATTCTGCGCAGAAACTTGGTATAAAAAACACGAATGGTTGTGTTACAGCGAGGACAAAAATGCACTTTTTTGTTTTTTTTGCCTACTTTTTGCTACCGCCCGTGACTCACGTTGGTGTAAATTTGGTTTTAGAGATCTTAAACATCTTTCCGAGCGTGCCAGGGATCATCAATCTTCTATGGAGCATCTGGACAATGCAGTAAAATACCGAACATTCGGAAATGTTAATATTGCAGCACAGTTGGATGAAGGACGCGCGGTTCCTATTCGTCGGCACAACCAAAACGTCGAGAAAAACCGCCATGTTCTCGGTCGATTGATAGATGTTTTGAAGTTCATTGATTGTCACGAGCTGTCCCTCCGTGGGCACGATGAACGGGCTGGCTCTTCTAATAGAGGGGTATTTTTGGATATGGTGGAATACACCGCATCCCTAGATACAGTATTGAGAGATCATCTTGATGCCGCAACTGTTTCGAAAGGGACATCTAAGGATATCCAAAATGATTTGCTCGACTCAATGTATAAAATTTATTTAGAACATTTGGCTCTGGAAATTGAGAATTGCCAGTTCCTTTCGATTCAGTCTGACGAGACAACTGACATCACGTGCGTTTCCCAACTGGCTGTGATTTTTCGGTTTGTGAAAGATGGTAAACCTACCGAGAGATTTCACAGCTTTGTACCAATCGTTGATCGCACGGCATGCGGGATATCGGCTGTACTGAAAGAAGTGTTACAGCCTTACAACGCGAAGTCAAAATTGATAGCTCAAACTTATGACGGCGCGGCAGTCATGAGTGGGTCGAAACATGGTGTTCAAGTTTATATAAAAGAAGATTTTCCTCATGCGCATTTTTTACATTGTTATGCACACCAATTTAACCTCGTTATTAAAAATATGTGCCTTGATGCCCCTCTCGTCCGTATATTTTTTGCAAATGTTTCGGGGTTTTCTTCATTTTTTTCCGTTTCGCCGAAGCGCTCTGACCTCCTTCGCCAGATATGTAGCCGCCGTCTCCCAGCTTGTGCACCAACACGTTGGAACTTCCAATCACGCGTGGTGCAGGGCGTGTCCGAAATTAGGTCTGAGCTCATTGAGTGTTTCAATGGCATTCAGAGCTCTCCGGTTTGGGATGAACGCTCTGTGAGGGAGGCGGCAGGTCTAAAGCGTCTGCTAGAAGATGGTGAGTTTTCATTTTTTTCTCGCTTTTTTCTCCACAGTATTCTATCACGTGGATGTATTATACGGCGCATTGCAGTCAAGGCTAATGGATGGAGCGTCTGTGCAGTCGTGTATTTCAGACTTCTGCGTTGCTGTATCTCGTATCCGGGAAACAATAAAATACGACGACACATGGAGTGCTTCTTTACGCCGCGGGCAAACAACGCAGCGTTTGATTTTGTCTGCAAAGAAATGCTGTGACATTCTGGTGAATCAAATAGGCGATCGTCTGCGCACTGAACACCTTGCCGCGTTCTCTTTGATGAACCCCAAAAATTTTTCAAAATTTGCACGTCAATTTCCCATCCATTTGTTGGCTACTGTCTCCAAATTTTACCCCATGATAAACGTGGGTGAATTGGAAAATGAATTGCGATGTATATACACCAATCAAACTTTTTTGAACATCACATCAACTTGCGCGCTCTATGGGTTCCTCATAGATAACACTCTAGTAACTACCTTTGCGGCGTCTGCAAAATTTTTGGACATCATTTTGACGACGCCTATTTCTTCCGTCGACGCAGAGCGAACATTCAGCACGCTGAAGCGTATTAAAACGTATCTCAGAAACACAATGAAGCAAGATAGATTAAATTCCTTGGCTGTTTTATCCATTCACAGAGACGTTATTCCTGGGATGCATGACTTTAATCAGCGCGTTATTGAGCATTTTGCTTCCAAGAAACCGCGGCGTGTTGCATATATGTTCAAGCAGTAGAAGTCTAGCAGCATATATAGAGCGACGCATGTCCTTATCTTTGCATTAACTTTCCTTTCTTCATAGTAACGTTTTAAACCTTATTTTAGGTTTTGTCTGCTTTCCCGAAGTTTCTGTTAATATGTCATTGTATTTATCTGAGTAAATATTGCCTTTCCTTTTGAAAGAGGTTTCAAAATAAACTATGTCTATATTTATTAATCCCTTGACTTGGACCGGTTTTAAAGACACTTTCTTATCGTTAAAAATTGTCGCTTTTGCCGATTGGTTGTTACCGATGGAATGGTTTTTATACTCATAAAATGATGGGAGAACTTACAGCGCTCATCCTGTCCCCGTAGATGGGGGTGACTTGATCCCGCAGTAGATTGCCCCGGTTGTCAAAATGACCACGCGCCGCCACTGATCATTTATCAATTTTGAAGACCAATCACTTCAGTCCAGTTTATTTCACCCTTCAAATTTCTCCATATGTTTGGCCTGACAGCATTGTAGGCTTCATCATGCAGCTACGATAGACATTTCTCGTAAAAATCGCAAACATTATAGAGTTACGTCGATTTCGCCAGAGCGTTCCAAGGATTTCAGAAGTACAAGTGATTGCGACGGAATTAACAGACTTTACCCTCTTTCCTTCAAATTTAGCTTCACCTCTGACATCTACGGCAGGGATCGGCAACCTTTTGTCGATCGCGGGCCAAAATTAAGGGTTGCGAGTCATTGGCGGGCCGCACATATTTCTAGAAAGCTGAAACCGAACGGATGATCCTTTTATAATAAAAATCAAGCAGTAATACATCTCTCGAATAGAATATGGAATATATTTGTCTAATTATAATTAAATTATAGGCACATTAAACGAGTAATTGTGAATTATATACTTGTAAGGTTATAATATAATTTAGTTTAAAAAATATAATCGTCAAAACGGCTGTTTTGTTACTATGATTCAGTGAAGCGTCACGAGCCGGCTTATAATACTCTGCGGGCCGGATCCGGCCCGGGGGCCGTAAGTTGCCGACCCCTGATCTACGGCATTACTATTATCTTTTTCCAAAATTAAAATAATTTTGCTGAAGTAGGTGAGCTGGCAAAGGACAAATTTCAAGTGAAGTTCGTACGTTGGAACATTTAAGCATAAGAGTAGGACCGTAAATATATACTACTCCGGTAGGACATCCTTCTTGAGAATTTGAATAACTTATCAAGCTTTCAAACATTTCCGTAATCCTTTGCAAAGCAGGTAATAAAGGGAGAAACCGAGTGTTGCCATGGTGTAATAGCCGTTGATATTCAATATCAAAAAAATCGCAAAATGGTTTCTGCTCTGTTACTCGGACAGTGTGAATGTAAAAATAATCATACATTCTGACAACAACACAAACAGGCAAAGTATCTACGGCATGTTGGAAAGGGCATCGCAGTGCAGTGTTGAACTACATGAGCCGCACAATCTATACCGGTTATATTTCTTTTAGTTTAAAAAAAAAGCATTGTTTGTTTTTCGTCTTTTTACGCCTCCAAAGTTGGCGTTGCAGTTATCCGCACAGAATCCAACAACTTTTCCGAGAACAGAGAGCAAGTATTCAGTAAAAGTTTTGGCGGTTTCCCTGGGTAGAGATTTGAATTCTAATAGTTTTATCTTCACACCAACATCAGGTAAAAAATAACGAACCACAACTGGAACAAGCTTTAAATTTTTTCTGTTTGATGCATCGAAGGTTACTGATACGAAACTGGTTTAAAGTAAATCATCATTAGGTTCAGAGGAGAACAGCAGAGCAATGCAATTAAAAATCACCGACTCTCATTTATTTCTGGCTAAACGTGCAAAATCAGCGAATCCGCTTATCAGACAGCGGACATCAGAAATTCTAACTGTGTATATTTACAAGTTAACGCAAATTTAGGCTAAAGATAAAAAGAAAAATTAATTTAGAGGTGCAGTCAAAACTTTGGCCATGAATAGCAGTGTGATAGTAAAACATATACCGATTGTGACATAACAATAGAGCAATTTCTCTCTCTCTGAACTAGCGAAGTGTGTCGCAAAACAGTGGTAAATGGGCTGCCATCGTTAAAAAAAATGTAATAATAATGAATATGATTTTTTTACCCACGACAGTCGTGCTGACAAACCGGGACATTTGAGTCAACCGGCCGGGACGCCGGGACAGCTCGTCAAAACCGGGACTGTCCCGGCCAAACCGGGACGTATGGTAAGCCTAGTAATAAACAATAAATTGACGATTTAGGAGTTATAATTTATTTAATATATCCGTATAAAAAGAAAAAAAAATCACACTATTTTTTACGATATAATAGTGAAATGATTTTAATAGTTTTCGACTCGGTTGTTTCATAAATCTAGTAAGATGGTCAATGCCAGCCATTTCGACCAATCAAATCAATTCGTAAAGAAAACATATATTTCTTCAGCAACCAAATGGTAAATGTATTGTATATTTTCCCGATGTTCCGGCCAATCTAACCGGTATAACTGCTCCAATTTACACCAGCTTACTTCATCGCTCATCTTGTGTTACAGCTAGACTTTTCAGCCAGGTTTTGGATTAGAATGTTAGAATTTCATTTAGCCCTTAACGGAATAATAATCTAAGCAGTCTAGTCCTAATTTAGTGATGTTTATACATGGTTGATGACACTGATTGGATTCAAAATGTTAAAAATGGGTTCTCTCTTGTATTGGATGCGTTAATAACAGATTCTATCATTTTGAAAATCGTGACAAACTTATAGCCCTGGAAAACATGACCAGGTTCGATTCGCGCGAACCCGTGCGAACATCCTGAATCCAACCACTGAATAATACCATCTTTCAGTTGATAATATGTAAAAAAAAAGTTATATATAATATCATAATAAAATATCATAATATCATCATAATAAAATCGAATTTGGTTGAATTTTTATAAATATTAATTCTATTTGTTATAATAAATTCCGGTAAAATAAACAGTAGTTGATTATGAGAATGAATAATTGAGTCGGCCTTTAATAGAAATAGTATAAGCTTGTTCCACAACATAATTATTGATAATTAGAGATTAGTACATATTAAACAGATAAATAAATAAAATTTGTTTCGTTTAACTATGATCTCAAAATTACGATTTTAGTAAAATAAATTGAAGTCCAGATTGAAGGCATCGAATTTTATTAAAATATTGAGTTATTATATAATAAAAATATTTTAGAGTTAAAATATTATATATTTTGAAAACTATTCTGATGGTTCAATGTAATTGTTATGTATATCTAACGGTACGTCGGAGGAGGAACAGGTGGCCGTGTTTTATCTTGAACATAAGCATCGTTTGCTCTTGCTTCACCTGATCCAGCGTTGGGACGACGCGGCACGTTGCTTTTGTTGCCTCTAAATAAATATGTATTTCTTTAAAAAATATTAGTGAAGTCCAATGTTTTTAATTGCTTTGAACAATAAAGGTTAAAAATATTCAAATAAATTTCAGTATTATTTATGACATTTTTACCTTTTCCAGGTATTAAACTTGTCTGAAATATTGTTTTTCTCACGAAAGATAACAAATCCAAGTAGAGCTAACAATAGCAATACGAGAATCACGATAGCCGCAGTGGATCCAGCGCTATTAGAAGAAGCTGTAATACAAATATATTTTTTTTTTGAATGTAGGCATACTATACCAATGGTTTTTAAGTGGTTACTTTAACCTCGGTTGCTTTATTCAGTTGAGTTTGGATTTGGACAATATTAGCCTATACAAAATATCACCATTACTTGGTACACTTTCATCAGCTGAATTGGTAATGAAGTCTCTTTCGCTGTTGGCTGAAAAATATAAATTAGAGAAGTTGTTTAATATGGGAATAAATGAAATCGCACCGCAATCATGCCACGTATGACATTTAAAGCTTAAACATGAAATTTCAACCAAGAACAAAACATATTCACGTACCACACAGTTGATTTCTGCAGTAGTCCTTTTCTCCACACTTGGAGCATGCAGTTCCTTTTTCAAACACGGACATCATTTTACCAGACATATATACATTTCCCCTGTATGAAACGTAGGAGTTAGTTAGTTTATGGTCAAAAGCAAGAGTGGTTAGTTGTGCCATACCTTTGAAAAATGATCGATATTAATTTTGGAATATATTGATCGATTTTGAGGTTTATAACAAAAATGATTTTTTTCCCTAAAAGTCAGGAAAAACTCGATGCAGAACTTTTTAAGTTGTTACAGAATAGCAATCAGTACACAGCTGATCTCAGAAGGCAACATATTGTTTTATTAGATGTTTTGCATTGAAAATGTTTTACACTTCTCACAAAAAATTATATTCTTGTGGATATCTAGCATTGAGAATAGTGAAACTTGTCCATCTTTAACAAAAATATGAACATTTAATTTACACATAAGATAAAGATGCTCATGTTACAATATACCCATTAAGCGAGCGACTGGCTTACTGTGCAAATTACTGGAATGTATAACTTTACAGCTGAAGCAAATGAATCTGTCATTTAACCATTTAACTATTTGGTAACAAAACTTACGCGGTCGCATAATTGCACAAAAACATAGTGCCAGATCCCCAGTCTACTCCAGATAAAGTTTTGCATGAAACCATTGCACATCCGACTTTGAACGTCTTGGCCCAGACAACCTATTGAAATAGGATATACAATAATTAAGTGCTGGAATAAGAACCACGTATTTTTGTATGAAGGTCCATTTTCAAGTACGTAATTCAAAAGTTATAATGATGTGAACGTATTAGTTGTCTAACGCTAATCTCCGAAAAATAATGGTGAAGCAATCATTTTCACGTGTTGCGTAGCCTGTTCTATTTCCAAAGTGGATGTGTACTCAATTTAGTCATGTCTGATTCGTCTCAAATGGCGACTTCATCTATATGAGTCAAAGCGAATTTTACGATTCCGTTATCCGTAACACGTAATGCATTTGCATATCTTCCATTTTAAAGATGAATATAGCAACATTATTATCGCACCATATATGCCTGGCGAGAGGACGACAACGAGTAGTTATTCTTTTCTGTTTGCAGTATTTTAATTCGAGAGTTTTTTAATCACGTTACAATGTTTTCATACGATACCTGAGTGTAATGTCCGCACATTTTTCCTGATTGACAAGTTTTTGAGTTGTAATCAAAATAGCTAATTTCACTAAACCATGATTGCACTGAATTTTCTACGTTTTTTATTGTTCCACTTGAAGCATGTATGTTTTCACCGACGCTAAATGTATGCATTCCATTATTAGTGGAAATAAAATATATATATATAACGTAACTTTGGTGAAAAAAATAGCCATGTCGTACCTCCATCCTCGCGAATGTTTCCTATTTTTATTGTGACCAAAGTGACATTGTTTGCAATATTCCTGAGCCAAGTATGCAAGTTCACTGTCCCAAGTCTAAATATATATGAAATGTATTAACATAAATTATTTACACGTAAGATAAAATTAATGAATCTATAATATGTTATAATATATATAAACAGTACGAGCCAGTTACATTATATCATGGATCAATTAATCAATGATTATTTATACAGTAGTCATTTTCATAATATAAATCACGGTTTCTCGAATTCCTCTCCACGGCATATTTCTTCCCATACCATATATCTCATGTTGGAGGATCCGCTCGATCGCCTTAATTCGTTGTGACGATTTAAAATTGTCATCTTTGCGGTATCATTCAATGGAATAATTGTAGGCCCTGCGCCGCGTTTGACCTAAACGAAGGAAAATATGACTTCAGTAATGTATTTATCAGAAAGAACATATATTATTATTAATTAAATGGTGTTTACTATGTATATATATACATAAAAGCGGGTTATATTTTTTTTTATCAAAGCATGGTTCTTTGATAACATAGACTAGTTCGCACCTGAGTAAAGCTTTACCGACAAGACTGTTACATGTATATATATATGCATTTTCTGGCGAATTTCATCCAAAATTAGTTTTAACTTACCCTTAGTGCCGACAACAAGGCGACTAATTGAAGGATGATTATTGGTAACAGCCACTTCGCCATTTTTCCTTTAGTATGCACTGAGCCCTACTCTCACATATAAGTAGCATAAATGCGAAGAATTTCATCCATCCATAGGTTTTAGCTTGAATGCAAACGAAAAATCATATTATGAACCGACAATCGGATATATATATACCATGTTTGGGCAATGATACTTATGTGTCAGTAAATGCTTACTATGACTATGAACTCATGTGACTGGCTTTCATATAATATATTGCCAACTAAACTCTTTGAAGCTTCGCAAAGCAAATTTCGGCTCTCATCTCCTTAATAAAGCAAAGTCCCTGGTCTCAAAGCATTCCCAGATAAACTAAGACTCCGATGTTATCCCTGGAACGTTATACACGATGTCATTAAGCCGCACAATTAGACTAAGTGAAAGCAAGCACTCAATATTTATGCATTCCATTGTGCTGCTCCATTTTGGTGACGTACATCCGCAATAGCCGGGTTTTTATAAGGAAGTAGATCTATTGGGTGGCCTTGCTTGATTGTATATATACTTACCAATTGTAAATACTCATTGTTTTAAGTATAAGTCATAGTTGTTCAATAACATCAGTTGTCAAGTTTATCAAAACAGTCAAAAGGTTGAGAAAGTACTGTGACGTGAACGGGCTGTTGATTTAAAATAGTGCAAGGTGTCACATAGCAGCCATTTCCGGTTATTTTGCGATCTTGAATAGGAGCAATATTGAAGTGTGGGACATGCGATTGTCAATGGCAGTTTTTTTGGGGGGCTAAACACACAACTGTTCAGGATGCTTGAGTACATCATAACACAGACATCATAACACTATAGGAGGCATGCAGTACAGAGAGTACAGCAAGAGAGGGGGGCATAATGACTTATGAATGTCATATTACATCCTCTTTTGTTCAAAGAAATAGCAATAATATTTAGACATTAAAATTCAACACTAATTCACGTTAAAGCAATTTCAATTGAAATAATCACATCTCATTTACAGCAATTTGCCATCAATCAGCAAAGCTACAAAATGCAATATTTACTTCACAAAATCACTAGAGCAATATTTTGGATCTCGCCTTATTCTCTTTCCACTTCTATTAAAAGTCATACTGGGCACAAAATAAGAATTATCATTAACAATATTATCCTGACGAGGTATTTCATCATTTGAATCAGACTCATTAGAATAATCGACATCATCTTCTGCCCAAGAAAAGTAAGATTCATTCGCTTTAAGAATATGTCTACGATTGCGACTCTATATTATTCCATCAGACTCAACATCTTAATATCTTGGTAAATAATGACTATGGCATATAACACCTTTCTTGTCATATTTTTCTTTTTATAATCTGATTTCTGACTGGTGTTGAATTAGGTAGCAATTTTGAAGACTTATCAAAATATTTCTTCTGTGCAAGAATTGATAATGCACTTCTTCTGGATTTCTCATTCCAGGATTCAATAAATTCTCTGATATAGGTATGTCAACTTTTGTTTGACATGATAACAAGCGTTGTGCAGAAGAACCAAGTATTTTATCTCTATGCACATTTGGAATGTTGAACGAAGCAAGGTAAGTATCAGACGAATGTGTACAAATGTGCATGCCGAAACTCATACGCATACAACGTACGTCAACATGACATTTAATAATTGTGATTCTTTACCTGGAACATTTCGATGATCAAAATACATTGACAAAGCATTGTTAGATGCAATTATGTATCAAACCCACTAACAACAGGTTCGCTCATTTCAAAAAGTGCATGTAGGTCTATGTCACTGGATAAGCTACATGAAAATGGCACTATTAACATAAATCGGTACTCCCGTGGTATGTGGACCAAGATGGCGGATACCGGAACGTACTGTAGTATGTGTACCAGGTAAGGGTTAGGCCATAGTTTCAGGTACAAATACTACGGGAGTCACTTGGCTAGTCCCCGAACTCGTGAAAGAACTAAATAGGAAAATTGGAATAAAATCATGGCCCAACCCTAACCTGGTACTCGTACTACGGGAGTAGCCATAAATCCAACACCTAATATCTGATATTACACCGAAAAGCCAAATATAAGGCTAGGTGGGGTACATTTCACCTTGCCGCTGTTGTCTAATATCTGAAACCAAAAACAAAAACGGGTTTCCGCGAATCCTCTGAATCTCACCACTGGGTGTGGTCCTAATTGCCATCCGAATGGCCTCTAAAATTTATTTCTGCTTGAGCATATTTGTGATGTTTTCTAAACATTAGTTAATATTCATGATATTCCTGATAATCTTGAATAAATTATTCTATGTAAACTACAAAATTGCCACACCTACGCCCAAACCAACTATCATTCTCTGAAGCGTTGCTGTAACGAGCTATCTGAAAGCACAGTTGAATCCAACCAGCAGTTTCTCTTTTTTTTGAATTCCCAGAAATGATGCAGTTTTTCTTGCCACACAATTTATAATTTAAAATAAAAAAATGAGAATATACCATTTATACATACTAGTTAAAGTGCCGTATACGAGTATGTAGAAGATATATTGAAAATAAAACTCAAAATCTATATCTATTATTCTATTATTAAACACGATTATATTAAACACCATCGTTCTCATTGGACACGTTTAGTGGACATAACGATCGTTTCAATATTTTGTTGTTGTTCTTGTTGTTATTTTTCGTCATCATTATAGAGTCGCTTTTCTCTTCGAATACTGGAAAAATTGCTTTGAAATTTTCAGTGAGTAAAGATTATATTTTTCACTAAAAGGCTATTACTTTTATTTATCGTTTTTTGTGTGCTATGACGCCAACAAACTTTGACACTATGTGGCGCAACGTGTTCATATATTTGAGCATAGCTCTCTTGTTTACAAAATAGGATACGGTGACAAAAAGCAGATGGCGAGCTATTTATGATATCCTCCACGGTGATGCAACTAAGGACTTATAATCAGTTATTTGTGTATGGGCTAAGCATTATTCAAGTTACTCTTCGGACACTTTTTTGACCAGTGCCTGTTTTTATAGGCGCCTGGGCGGGGGAGGAAGAACAGGTGGTGATGCTTTGGGCGGCGTTGCCGTTCCTTTTATATACGCGCGTCTCGGAGTCGTTGGTGCACTTGAACATCGCCTTTCTTCGTCTTTCAATAACTAGATTATAAGTTATACAGTGTTCAATTAGGAACTACAAATATATTTGAAATAAGACGGAAGTATTATTGGATGAAGGGAGAAATAAACAAAGAAAGAATAATCAATAAAAATCCATTGTGATATTTTACCTCCAATGGCGTACTGATGTCAGCAGCTGTCAGCTTGGAAATACCATGTAAATTTACGCCAGTCAATGAATGCTTCGGAGTATTGTACGCGCTTGTGGCTGGTGTGCTCGCGTTACTGTAAAATGGTCGCTAGGTGAATACTCAGAAAAACATTAGTATCTGATTTTTGTAATGTCTTGTTTTCAATGTAGTTTTGGTCATGCATGAAAGTAGGCAGACACAGAGAAAGTTAAAAAATTTCCCCGGGCATTTAAATCTTTAAACCTAATGCAAACAGGTATCATAACGAGGGCGTAAGTAATTTCGTTTAAAATATGGGTACGTTGGAAAATTGCATGAGATCCTATACCTGAACCTAACCATATGGTTGACTGCTGTTGATATTCCAAAATTGTTTGAAAATCTGATCCTTCTTCGAAATAGAAACAAAGTGACAAGAATAACAATAATAATGCAAAGTATTATTATCACGGCTATGAATGCGCCTTGGCTGCCTTTACCTTAAAATCAAACAAGAATAATCGCTTCAACGAAAGTTTTCTGATTTGCCATGGAACCATGTCATAACAATATATATATAGCTGAGAGGGGGTCAAATTTAAATTATTTAAGATGGACAATTTATTTTTGTATAATTTATATTTTTCCGGCACTCACTCCAACAAAATTATGCCTGTTGTAATGTTTTTAGTGAATTGACTAAGTTAAAGAAATAAAGTTACCACTTACAATTACATCTTATACGCAATCGCTACAAACTATCTAAATATTTAATAAAATATAGAAAATTAAATCATACTTTGGCATTCTTTATTTTTCGTTTCAAAAACGAAATCTCTGGCACTGTTTGCTGTTTAATTCAACAGTTGATATTTTGTTGAATTTTCCCATATATTTTATGCACGATCAGCGGATGATGAATGGAATATAAAAATGAAGTGAGTATAAAAAGAAATAAAACCTATCAAAACTAAATATTTTATTTACATCTGTCAGTGCAAGTAAACATTTTGATAAAAGTCGTTATAATTAACGAATATAACAAAAATAGTGCGTTTGAAACGCTTTTGTTGACAAGTTATAGCAATATGAAGCTCTACTGTTTTTATACACTGACTACATATTTTTAGACATGTCAGAATCACTAATCGCCTTATTCGTGGTCTATTATTTCTATACAAAAATTATTTCGTATAGTCACGCCAATAGCTGTTGCAGGAATGAACCAAGTTTTACCACATAAGGAATCCCGACAGTAATCGTCTTCATTGCACTTAGTACAGTGTTTTCCTTCTTCAAATAATGGAAGCAACTTCCGGCCTGGTAGTGAAACGATATTTCCACTGAAAAGATATTGTACTCAATATAGGGTAATTGTGACTGGTTTATTTATTGTCCAATTTTGGCTTTTGTAGATCAGTGGGTTTCATCTCAGCCCCCCTCCCCCCATCTCCCTTATAAACACTACGATATGTTTTTTTTTTATCCAAATTGGCGGGAATTAAATCGACTATGTAGTATGTATACGATGTAATCGATGAAAACGAAATCGAGGGAAAACGAAAGAAAAGGAAACAAAATCAAATCAGGAGCCACAGCCCAAATCAAAAACATTTAAGAGTGAAGGAAAATTTCTCTAATTCGCTGTGATAAACACTTGTATTTGTGAAAAGAACACTAGGTATAATTCAATTCCTAAATAGAACTTTCGAACATATCAAGACCGAGTCATCTAAAAGGCGATCACATTCAAGCAAGCAGCTCCTATATTGTACACAACTTATTACTCTGACCAGGTCATGTACAAGTTTTTCGGAAGGTAACTTCAGACACTTCATATTTAGTTAATCTGAACTCGGCATTTTGGCACTTCCAAAATCACGACATTTTTCAATATGTACAATATTATTGTTAATCTGCCTCATCAGCCATCCATAAAATTTTTATCTGATATCGCTGTCTTGATGGGTAGGCGATATTGTGTAATAAAATGTAACTACACTAAAATGTCGATGGATCCTGACTTACGCTGGTGCATAATTGCATACAAATAGTGATCCGCTGTACCTCTGTCCAATACCAGTTATATCAACACATAAACATATCGCACATCCTACTTTGAACGTAGTTGCCCACATCACCTGGTAATAATAAATGGATTGGTAGAAGGTGATTGTAAACAACTTTGAATATACAATGATGTTTCGGTCCCAGCAGCTAACTTTTGAAAAGTATAAATTTGAAAGTTCTCGTTTTATGTTCAATCAGTTGTAAAACATAATTTGGGATTATTTTATGCTTATCTAATTAGATAACGTAAATTGTGAGCGTTTTATATTTTATTTGGTGGTGGAATCTCCTACTGTTACGCTATAGAAAAATATCAGAATTCTTTCCCCGAATTATATTTTTAGGAATGTAACACAAACACGACACAAAATAAAAATATTTCAATTTTTAAATATTGTTAGCAAGGACTGCCAAAATTATCTTTGTTAGATTATTAATTAAAAATAAATTGCCAGTAGACACAAAATATGAAACAGCAAACTTGTTAAAGGTTAGAAAAATATCTGATAATAACCTGCGTATAATGGCCACAGGTCATTCCGGGTTGACACGTCCTTGAGTCGTGAGAAAAATATTTTAATTCATCATACCAAGCTTGTATCGCTTTTGTAGTTTCGCTTCCTGTCATTTTACCACTGGTTGCATATATGTTTTCTCCAACACTGTAGTTATTCAATAAATGATTATTTGCCAACTTTTGTTATTTATAATATGGACGAGAATATTGTTAATGTATGAACACATAACAGACACTGAATAAAAATGAAGTTTATCGCCCTATGCAGTATCAACATTTTTGCACAATGACCTATTATCCGTCAGGTACGGTGTGGAAGCTGTTTGAACAAAGAAACCGGACTAATTTACAAACAAAACAATAATTTGACATCATTGACGACATATGAATAATTACAAACAATTAGATTTAAATTTCGAACATATAGGACGAATTGTTTTCACCTATAAACCAATAAAATCAAAATCAAAATTTTTTTTTTAAAATTCCAAAGTTATATTAAAACAATTAGCACTTGTCGAGTTGGTGATTCATAGCGATTTATTCCGCGTCATTGCTTCCATAACATTCATAGTTTGAAAGTGGGGAGTTAAATCTATGTCTAATAAGTTTTACAGAAGTTCCTATTTACAAAAGTTAGCCATGCTGACTTTGTCAGCAAGTCTAGCACAGTTTTGGGGAAAGAAGTTGAATGAAAGAGATTGAAATAAGTAACGTATGTTTACGAGATATACTAAATCCGCACCTCCAACGTGAATGTTTACGATTTTTATTGTGATCAAAATTGCATTTCTTTGAATGTTCTTCTGCAATAGTCGCAAGTTCGCTGTCCCAGGTCTGCAATGAAAAACTCCTCTCGTAATTTGCAATTTTGTTGTAAAATTCTGTTTCAATCCACTTAGAAAGTTATGATGATGGGGATTATATTGCAAATTCAACAACGATATATCAAAGCCATGTTCGTTTAAAATAGGCTTCATATGGTCCGGTCTTACCCGGACATGTCCGGATATTTGCCGTTTAAGTTATCGTCCTGAAGAAATACGAAATACACTGAATTGCCCAGAATTTTCGAGTCGCCTGAAATGTATGACAAGCGTTGCTGCTCCAATTTTTCAATTTACCACCTTGATTAGATGAAGATTGGTGATACTGATAATGCATGGGCGGCAAGTGTTTAAAACCATAAAAAGTCGGATTTCATTTCCTTTCTCGATATTGCTATAGGTAAGACTTTATTTATGTCTTATTACCCTCAATTTACCGAACCCTAAGTGACAAACCCAATGATTGAAGTTCGTGTTGACATTTTGAGTATATTGATTGCGAATAGTGGTAATCCCTGTATTCTGCATCTATATATATATATATCCACTCGAAATAACAAATTCAGTGTCGATGTTATAATAAAAATTCTCCTGTGTTATTCTATCGGGAATATGGCAACTTCAAAATTCAGTTCAACAATTCAAAATAACACGTCCATTTCTTTTGTACAATTATAGTGTTTTATTGCTTACCATAAATCTCATGTTGGAGGCCCCACCCAGTCGTCTCAGATCATTGTGATGCCGCACGATTTCCATTTTATCATGGTCGGTTAAAGGAATAATTGTCGGTCCTGTGCCTCTACGCTGCTGTTAAAAGAATTTGCTATTTTCAGTTACTAACTTTGTCCTTTTATAGTGGATACATATCAGTGACTGTATTTTCACAGCCTTGTTGAAGAAATGACGTATATGCTGCTCTTTAAAACTACGTGAGTATCGCAGTTTTATTTTGAGAACTTTGTATAAAATAATTCAATGCATTACAAATATCAGCTAGTTATTGTTAACCACCCTAAATCACGCGAGATAGCTGTTGGATGTTTGCCCGGCCCTTCGCCCCATAGGAATTCATTCCATATTTGCCATTGCCAAATTTAAGATTTTTTTTTTTAGGGTATTTTCGCGGATTTGCGTTTATAAACTGGTTTACATCTTTCTAACCATCGTTTTCATTTAAATCATTGGACCTCCCACTGATAGCTAATTTCAACATACGGCATCACAGATTTTTCGAAACTAATTTTGTTTACTACACATAAAATAAAACTACTCGGAAGAAAAATGATCATTAAGACATTTGATTCATACCTGAATTCGTCAACGCAACCACAAACTTACAAATACCCAGCAAAACCACAAAAACGAGCTATTGTTTACCATCATGCTTTACAGTCCTCCTGAGGGAAAACAGGTGTCGAATCGACGACTAATATTTAATTGCCATGTCGCTGTGGCATCATGATGATTAGCCAATATTATTGTAATATACCGGAAAGTTTTTCACGCCATTGATTCTGGTTGCTATGAACCTATGCTACGTCATAAAGCCCTGACGTTGGGCTCTTTTTATGTATTGCGAATTAAATGATCAGAAGAATAAAATACTCACCCTTTCTGCTGCTGAATAGTCCGAAATTAGTAATGTAGTTATTATTAATATCGGTTGTAGACGGGGCCATATTGTTTACATCTATTTAATTCGTTTAGCTATATAATCAAATCAAAGCGCATTTGAATTATTTTCAAATTCGTAAGTAAAATTATCAAATTTAAACCTCACATCTATAAATGTTTGTTTGCTCTATACTAGTTAGTACGATGGTTCGTGTGATATCTATCTTAGATGAAAAAGGCTTAAAATGCGAGAACCGACGCTCCTCAGGGCTTGCCAGAATTTGCACCGTTGGCGATTGAACGAAAGCAATGCCCTAATAATAGATGTTCAGTTCGTTCAAAATCCTACTTAAATTGAGATCAATCCTCGGAATCTTGCCTTACCTATGCCTGCACTGACTAATATTAAAACTTCACTGACTGACAAATCCAAGTTCACTCCTGTATTTGATCAGGCAGCAGTTTTTGCTCGTGTTGCTGATTTGATAGAAGTATATTTGTTAAATCAGGGGAAATGCATATGGTATCGTGACATGCATTCGTTGAACGAATACAGCATCCCCTTTCTATTGGTTTGGGTGACGTAACATCCTATTTCAAAAGTAATTATAAAACGTAATATGTTCCATCGCGGGCCATATATGTATTGTGATAAATTGATGTTGATCGATGTTTGTATTGAACTTCAAATATCTGATATCATTTCCTGTTTTTCAACGAGTACCTTATCAAAAATTTCCACTGAAATGTCATAGACCGAGAATGAGAAGTATATTTTGACAATGAATCACATCACAATCGACCTTGATCAAACATATATTGATAAAATGTTCACTTACAATAGCTTTCCTCGTACCATAGAATGCTACGGACGAGGTTTAAACGAAAGGAGCACACTGTTACTTGATATCAAGTAAATATATGAAATATTACCCAATCACAAATATTTAAAACTGTATAACTATTTACAGGTTGTGCAAACAATGAATACTGGGTAATCAGTATGAGATAAATGAAAATTCACTTGACATTGAGCAAAATATAATAAATATCAACAGCAGTACTTGATTCCATGATAACATGGAACTTTTTTGACAAGCTTATTATTCTATAGCTGGGGATTTTCCATTACAGAACAAAGTATGAACCGTTAAAAGCATGACAATAAATAGGGCTGCATAGACTCTAGAATTTGAACTCTTGGGTTTATTTACAAGCAGATATTAACGATATAAAATGAAATTAGTCGTTCGCAGCTCCAGCAGTCGGCGATATAATTCTTTGCAATCCATGAAATCATAAAAAGTAATTAATCTCCTAGTCAAGTGATTATTTCAAGACCGAAAAATAAAATTGAGACTTTCAAATGGGAATTTATGCACTCATTTAATACACCATTTTCTTCTCAGTTTTTTAAAATATCCAATATCCGCATGTTGTCAAATTAATGTTTGATATTATTCTGATTAATACTGAAACTTTTTACTATAAAATAAGACACAATAATCGACGTGGAATGTTAATCATTAAGGTTATTCAAACATAACTTCATATCGACAAATTATTTTTTTATTTATATGTCTATCGACGTAACCTCCACTTGTCTCATTGTACGTGCTGACAATGCAGCTGCTGTTTTTTACAACCACATTCAAGTTCAAATTCGAAATGAACAAATATCTTATTTAAACCTAGAGCAAATATGTAAGTGAGGTCAAGTTCATGGGGCTTGCGAAACTATAGTTCACCAAACGACAGTCTTTAACATAACAAGGCAATCTTTTTTCCACCAGGTCATTAGTCATAAACTCCACTTCAAATTTTTTTGGTTATGTGTAACAACAACAATATGTTTCCTACAAGTTTTACTCGTGACGTGGAAAGAGAGAATCGATCGTCTTCTGCTTTCAATGCAAAACAACTACCAACAACGTTCGGTAGGAATAACAGCCTATCGAACAGATAATTCATTGCATTCAGAAATCATTTTCTTTCCAACACAGGAGCAGGTATGGAAGGGGGAGGAGATCTTGGTGCAGTGTGACTTGGTTTTGGATAACTTGTCCTACGCACTGGTACTGTCAGTGATTTCGGTCTTTCCGTCAATCTTACTTGAACCTAAACAGCAAAAGTTTTATAGAAATTTTTCACTTTCATATTACTTAAAACTTGAAGCCGGGATGTAAGCCGGACGCGAAATATTGCTTGTTTATGACAAGATGCGATGGCAAGATTTTGAAAGTTTTTTCTGGAACTTTAAAATACATTCAATTATTCCCTCAATTATCATAACCAGCATTTTTCGATCATAGCAATAATGCATTCATCGACAAACGGAGTAGGAGGCAAAATAAGCTTAGATTATGAGCACGCTTTCTACTTGTCAGAAGTATCTACCTACCTTGGCAGTCACTTCTGCATTTGCAGTTAAAACAGATTCCGATTGTTGTTTGGGTAGTAGCGGTATGAAATTTTCTACGCTATCATATATTGGTTTGTCATCAGCAGATAGGTGATTTTCGGGGCTTGCAACTCCATTCTTAGTACGAGAACTGAAGGAATAAAATGTAATTCGAGTAATAAATCAAAAATATCAGAAACAATGTACAACAGATACAATAAGCCAGTGTGAGGTAACCGACGAGTTATTCGATTTAAATACTGGGTAAGCCATATACACATATGGAAACATCATGTACTTGTTATTTTTGCAGTGCATTTCGAGTGAGTATTCGTCCGACTTCCAAAGTGTGTCTTCAAATCCAAAGTTAAGTGTTCTTAACGAATATATACTAATACTGTACAACATGTACATGAGGCTTACCTTTTCCGAAGCCTAGTTGGTGATTTTATTTTGCAGCAGTCACTTCCTATCAAACGTCGTTTACGAAGTCGTTGACATATAATATATAATGTGAGTGTAATGACGATGGAAGATAAAATAGCAATTGCAATTATGAATCCAATGACGCGACTTTCTGTGAAAGAAAATATTATACAGATATTGAAGGATTGAAAGCAAAGAATTTCGAGAGAGAGAGAGTTGACAACTTTCCCATAATATTATGATTGCGACCAAATGAACTCAAGTGAGTTATTCATACCGTATTTATAAAAATGATTGGCTAAACAGTTCACATATCCCTTATAATTATTTATTTATTTCGTTTAATTGAGTGTATGAGGGATTTATTGGTAGCTAGTGACTGGCTGATATTGTATGCAAGTAGATTGGATTGTTTTGCAGAATTGCGAGAACAATTTACGATAACCAATAACACCATACACGCACTCAAAAATGAATATCTCATATTCAATCTAAATATTTTTAAGTTTGACAACGATTTACAGCTCAATAGTCACATAATAGAACCGTCGAAAAAGCTTTACCAACAGTTGCTACATCTGAACATGTTCAAAGTCTCATTTATAGACGAATCCACTCTAGATTGGTCTAAATGTTGGCTATAATTCGGCTGAATATTAAAATGCTGGCGCATTTTGCATGTAATTAATAAAAGATTACCTGCGTACTCGACAGGCATCTCAATGAAATCTCTTTCGCTATTCGCTGAAATATAGAAATGAAATGAAGTTTTGAATCTCATTATTTCAATACGAGAGTCGTGCATATACAACAATAGGACAAATTTTGAGAAAAACGGTGCTGTAGAGCTTGGAGCCATCCCAGTCCAAACATTAAGGTCATTTTAAAAACTTCTGCCAACTCCTGATTGGCAAAAATTTCGACTTCTATTCCGGATCCAGGTTCCGAGTTGAAAGAATTCTTGATTTACTCCGGCAGCTAACTTCGATAAAACCAAATTCTTCCATTATTGCTGTCGAAAATTCAAATTTTGACTAACACCATTGGAAGCCTGAAATTTTGACTTCTGTGTGTTTGAAAATAAAACCCCGACCTCATCAACTTCATGATATATTCAGCTTTATTTGAAGTAGATTCTTCATTTTACTATCGCTATGAAATCATTAATCGTGAAATTTTATGTATATAATTTTTTTTAGGTTTGGAGCTATGAAACAGTCCTTACCTGGCGGGGAGACCTAACAACTTTTATAAATTGTGTCAACAATATAAAAAATAGATCTTCATTGCAAATAGAATAAATTGCCATTATTTTTTTCAGCTGAGAAATATAACAACGGAATTTTACCACACATTGATTTTCTACAATAGTCATCTTTATCACATTTTGAACACGCATTCCCAACTTCGTAAACTGATACCAATTTCCCATCTTCACCGGTGACGTTCCCCCTGATGAATATAAAAGACTTTATTTTGATGAAATTAATTCCCTAAAAAATCAAAATGTTGATACACTCACGCTGTTGCATAGTAGCAGATGAAAAGTAAACTATTTCGATATTGAAGCTCTGATATAAAAGTGCATTTAGTTAAAGCGCATCCCACTTTAAAGCTTTCTGCCCACACAACCTTAAAAAAAAGAAATCAATTGATAAAGTGTATTTTATTAACTCAAACTCACTGTATTTTATATATATATATATACCATGTAAAGGTTTCCACTGGAGAATTAGAATGAATAAAAAAAAGATAATTTTCAGGTCACTAACGTAAATGTTTTCTTTGGAAAGAGGTGTTCGGTTGATCAAAAAATTACACACAAAACAGACAACTGTAGCATGGTATTTGTATTTAATCTGTATTTTCTGATATGCAATGGGTTTAAATAAAAGATAAAACTTTAGAAATTCGGTTGAAGTAATATCATTCATTCATTCCTGGAAAATCGGTGATTTACTAGTAGATTTTCTTGCAAAAGACAACAACGCTCTTTTTTAGCCTCATGTGTCCTTATTGTCAATATATCACAATCTCAATTAAATGTGAATCCACACAAAGTTCATCCGCATGTACTGTAATGTTGAATGGCTTATTTACAATATGATACTTATATTGGTTCAATTAATGGCGAAAATATGACAACCCCAGCTTTTGCAATTTCCCCTTTTTTTGGAGAATACTCGCATACAAAAAAATAGGAATAAAGCAACTTCACTCACGGCATTCCAAAGACGTACGGTATTAAATAACGTTTGTTAACATTTTATGACGGGCTTATTCTAATACTAATATAAAATTCCAGGGCGCTCCAGAAGTATGTGTACCAAGATGGAGGTAACTAACTTTGTTCGACTACTTTACATCAAGTTGTGTAAAGGGACGGAAGCCTATGGGCAGGATGTATATTCACTTAGCCAACAAATACAGTCCCCGAACTCGTAATATAACTAAAATAAGGAAAATCGAAATAAAATTATTGCCTAACCCTAACCTGGTACACATACTACGGGAATACCAATTCCAGATCATACCACATTAATTGGAGGTTGTATATCGGGTATATAGTTGGTTTACCTGGGTATAATGTCCGCAAACCTTCTTTGATAGGCAAGTACGTGAATAATAATTAAAATTTGAGTTTTCACTGAACCATTTCCGAATGGCCATGGGAGGTTTGAAAACGGATGATGATGCTTTAGTTGCAAACATGTTCTCCCCAATACTGGAAATGAAAAAATGACAAATTATACATATATCTTGGCATGTACATCAACATTTCAATTAAATTTATAGACATTTGAACACGTTAAAAGAACAAATTCTTACATATACAATGCACTTGATCTGCAGTGCAGTGTCATGTGTACTTCCGCACAACGCCCGCTTATATGGCAGCGATATAATATGACCTCTACGGAGGAGGTCATACGAATTGCAATTCGGACCATAATACATCTACCCCACTCCTAACCTACTCGAACACTTATTTTGCTATTTCACTAAGATATGTGTCAAAAATAGCGTATGCCATCATAGAAACTCCTTTGCATTCTTCCAATTCCTAAATACCATGATTAGTAGCCTAAGTCTTCATTTGCTTTGATTTAAACGTGACAAAGTGGTACAAAAAGTAGATCACACTTTCTGAGATTAGAGATTTTTTTGAAGATGCAAAGGGAAAATAGTAAAAATGAGTTGCTGCAATCATAGCAAGTTACCAACCTGGAATATTTGGAATGTTTTTTATATTTATTACGACGATATCGACATCTTCTTCCGTATACTTCCGCATTCCATGCCAATTCACCATCCCATGTCTAGAAATTAAATATCAAGATAGACGAGGAAACACAAAATACCTCGCTTGACTATGGTCAATTTTCAATCTCGACTTAACGAATATAAAGAGTTGTATATTACGGGTATAATAAACAAAAATGTCCCTAATATAATGAGAGCATAGGGCAGAACTTTACAATAACAAAGTTGAAGCATAAATGTAACTTACCATATATCGCATGTTGGATGAGTGTCTTGTTCGTCTCATCATATTATGAAGTTTAACGATATCATATTTTTGTGTTTCAGTAAAGGAATTAGTTCATAGTGTGTCTTTGATTGAGCCTATGATAGATCATAACAAAAAATTAGATTCAATGTTTGAATATTTTAAATATTTTATATTCAAAAATACTTGAAGAAGTTTTAATTTCTAGAAGTATTTGAAAGTTATTGGGATCTTCGGATAACGCAATAACATTTTCCTCATGGATGGAATATTCGAGAAGAATATTGATTGTGGTGGTGAATGTCTCCACATCTACTGGTGGGATTCAGGGGGTTCAGATCTCACATGTGTACGCGCGACCACTTTCTCGCAATGTCGTGATATCAGCGAACCCGTTCTTGTTTTTTTACATGACGACTGCAACACATGAGATATTTTACGTTTTGAAAAATTGATATTAGATTATATATAAAACGTGTAATGTTCGTGAGGCTTACGTAGCGACCTACATACATTTTTCTGAAATGAGGAACCCGTTCTTAGTGACTTTGATACATTTCGCCAAGACGGGTCGGCAGGTACACGGATAGTAGGTTTATCCAATCGATACTATTCAGAGTTGGACGCCATTCAATTTGAAAGAAGAATTTATTGTTAAAACATATCAAAATGCGATTTATACCCTATTCCCACCCTTTCACGCCCGAACCTGGGACATGAACGTACCATAAACTGACTATCGCACAAATCGTCGTTGTGCCGTACCTCTTTGTCTTGTGTATTATACTAGAGTTTTATATTTAATGTCTGTTGTCCTACTATTACACAGTCGTCCTAAACTGCAGTTGTACTTGTTAGGGATGCATATCGCACATCCGTGTCTTATTTTTGAGGCAAATAAACATACATACATACAAGAATGAAAGACGAAAAGACGATGTGAAACAAAGGCGTAATCAACGTGTGCTATCTTAGATCAAGATTTGTTCAGACCACATAGGAGATCTTTGTTCAAGAATAATTTATACTTGTGGACTTTTCTCGTTTCGAATTGGACGAAATAAGAAAGCGAAAATTTTAAATTTGAATTTTGAGGTACGTCAGACGAATAAACGAATAAAATGATTATTGCATTAACGTTGATTTACCCTCCAAGACAATACAGTTATTCATGTTGCAAAGTTATTTTGTACGTTGGCATAGACTGCGAATCGTTACCGTACAAGCCTCGTATGTCGCTTAACGATCTCTCACGATGCTTTTACTGCCAATGAACGAGACAACCGCAAGGGGCGATCGATTTTCTTCAAATAAGCGACAACTCTCTCAAACGATTACTCCCCAGCGAGAAAGTGTCCTTTGTCTTGCATGAACGAAGTTCAATGACTTTAGCTTTAGCCCACGCTTGAATTAAATGTCGTCACATATGGACTAATGCTTTGAATAAATACGCCGAAATACTAGTAGGTCTTGCTACATTGTTATAGCAGTTTTAATCAAATTAGTTCAAGCTCACGATCGAGATTTCGATCAATCTTATGGAAATGTATAAATTTAAATATTACGCATATAGAAATGACACGTTTTTGAATACATTATAGTTTTTTGAATTGTAAAAATCATATATATTCATTTGACAAACACAGACAGTCCCCAAACTCGTAATATAACTTAAATAGGGAAAATCGGATTAAAATTATGGCCTAACCCTAACCTGGTACATATACTACAGGAGTACCTTATTAACTAACATCCGTGAAAGACATTCCAGCAAAATCAAAAATTTACATGACCTGCCCGTCATTACAAACTGCAACTATTACTAGCCTGTTGCGCTCTACAATCCATTCAATGGTAAGGAGAATTTCTTAAAATTGCTATATGTATATATATGCAAGGAATTGTACTTAAACCTACTCATAGAAGTGAAAAAAACTCACTCAAAGGTGAAGTTACTCGCCATGATGTTATAAACAATGCTTCGTACCTTATCAGTGAGTTTTTATGGAAATCGAAATATTTTATTGACAATTCTTACCTTTAGAGTTCCACAGATGCATATCATACAGAACATGGATGACAAAATGGGATTAGTCATTCTTCCCAGCACAGACTAACCACCGATCGAATATCCCTTCAAGTATGCACGAGATGTCTGACTGTTTTAACCCAATAAAGCGCTTCCTCGTCGCGCTGAATATAAAATTTCGCGGTCCATTTTGCCACATTCGGTAAACATTAGGTCATAAAGTTATACGATTGCTGTGAATAATAAATCGGGGAGGAATTTTGGTGAAATAATGATAGAAAACTACACTGTTAAAAGTAAAAACTAAATATGACAATTTTTTTGATGTAACATTCTCAAGGTGATTTTGTAACGCCCTAGTCCATATATATAAAATACATCTAATCTGGGTACTTTCTAAAAATAGTTTAATTAAAGTGATGCTAAAATGCTTGCATTACACTAAAATGATGTCACTTTAACTGAAAAATTCTAACCGTAATAACAAAATGTCGATGATTCACGACGTCTTCAAATGAAGCTTATCGTTCAAAATCTTAGCTTTGATAGTTTATGTCAGTCGGATATTATTATTTTTCAAGCATGATTCACGCTTCAACTATATGGTGCTAACTGTCAATGGCCTATACTCCGTTATATATAAAATACGTAGTATAGAATATGTTCTGATCGCAAAGATAAGCCCGTGACAAACACGAAAGTATTACGGTGTGTAGGCTTATAACTACTCTGTCTGAGCAAATAACCCTCTTTCAGAAGGGAAATCCAAAACAACTTTAATGGCAGGCGCTCTAATTAACCCAGAAAAGAAATCCAAAATTATCTTCTCAACTTCATTTTAGTTTAAACTAAATTTGGTACAATAACATTACACAATTTAGGCGTATGGGTTCCTCTGTAGTACCGTTAAGTAGAGCCCTAATAGGGCGAAGTACAAAGTTTCGTTTTCGTAACTTGAGACGCAGTGAGAGTGCCATATTGCAAAGTTAGAAGTAACGCCAAATGGCTAAATCAGTATCCTTGCGAAATGAGTATCCAAGTATCGATTTACGCTCAGACGGTGCTTGCCTATCTATGTGCAGTAGATATATAAGTCGAAATTTCTGCTCAGATTATCACTTGGCCTGAATGCTTTCGCCAAAACGGTAACTTTTACGAATAATATAAAAGTAGATGTGGGCACTGTGATGGCCAAGTTCCAAGATTGTTCATGTCATTGGAATCCTATGTCAATTTTGACACAGTTGGACAGGCATGCTATATATCACATACTTAATAGATTGTTAGCTTTATCTCTAGGATTCCTCTTATGAACTGTAGGAATTTAGCAAAGTTACTCGCACTTGACGCAAATGAGTTTCATTTTGCGTATGCAAATTTCACACAAAAAGAAATGAAATTTAATATACTGTTATTTATGACCGGTTCGTTCATACCATAAGGTTCATAATGTTTACAATTCTTGAGCACGCATTACTTGATTTTCGACTATCTTATATTGATATATACAAATGGTAGGTGGTGCAAATGCTTTTTGTTTGAAAGCAACAAAATGATATTTGAAAAATATATTGCCCCATAAATTGATCACAAAGTAATACGAACCGTAAGTACAACCGTAATTACAAATCGAACTATTATGAGAAAATTAAACCTGTGAATCATTTGAAATTTACAGAAATGCAGTTCGAAATTTAATTGTTGTAAAACATATGGATGACCAGATAGTAATACCTCAGTTGGTTCGCTGCCTGAACATCAACTAATCCTCTATTTCATTACGTAAATTAACAACCTATTGGCTTACTATATCTTAGGAAGAAGCAGTCGTAACTCGTAATATACACACTTTTAGACGATATGCCCTGGCTTGCCGGAAGGCAATTATCATGATCTCTTCTTGGTGAGATTATCTTTTCTGTGTTTCGGATTAAATCGTTATTTAATATAATATTTCCTTCCATACGAAACATGGTAGTGCAATCCATGCGCTAATAAGCGAGTCAACTATCGGCGAAACTATCGTATTTTACAGCGTTGTCTACGACTGCATGTCGTCGCTTGGCCTAAATTTAAACTCTCTGACGGAATGCTAGAGAATAATTTAGAATATTAACGACCGGCTTTGAACGAAGAACGGAATGGCAGGTCTGATGTCTTCTTACATACACATCGGCAGACCGATAGTAAATTATGTAAATAATTTGTTGTGATTGATGTAGATATCCTTGTTAATATCTGGTCTACGTAATAAAATGTTTGAAAGCATTAAAATTTCTGGAGTGTGTTTGTCTTGTATGGTCTGGATTTTGTAAAACGCAAAGTATGTTTTTAATGAATGCCGCGTTTGTTCGTTGACAAGACGTTAAAACATTTTCGCCACCGAACATTGCCTTTTAACACTAGTGACCTTGTTAAGACGTCATATTGTAAACTATGACGCAATATTGTTCATTTGTTAATGCTAACTAGAGAGTAATGTTTTCGCCTAGAACTGCAATGACCTTAAAAACTTTGTACAATGCAATCGCATGATTTATAATGTTGGCCAGTTGTAATATCAGGTGGAACAATTTCAAAGACGTGTAACAGTCCTGGCCCACGTTTAAATTCGGAGATACCGTTATCACTAACTTAGTTCCCTGATGAAAATGTGGTTTCATTAGTTTTGGTCTCACCAGACACAACAACCGTTAGCAGCAGCTGACTGCATGCGATGGTATTCGTGTGCGTAGCCTGTTCAGAAGCCATTATGGTTGCGGTGAATGATTGAGATACCGCAACCAAGATGGTGTAAATATATCAATCGTATGATGACAAACATCATCTTGCCGCATTTACACATCGTACTTCAAACGGTTTAGGCACTTATCTGCATCCGCATATTCTGAGAGAGTTCAGCCCTCAATTTACGCTCAAATGTAACACTCTTGCGTTCAACCTTTTGATGAACTCTACTATCAATACCATTTCCACTTTTAGTTTCATGATTTAAGACTGCCATTATTACAGTATCGACAAATCTGTCCGTTCGATTTTCAGTTTGTGATACTTTTGAATTATTAAATTAGTATATTTTAGTCTTTACCCTCTGAATTAATCAGCCAACAGGTGTCGCTGTCTCGAAGACTGTTACAGTCCTTCGCGGCCCCTTATCGATTGCGATAAATCTCTGACGTTATTACTTACGTATATATATATTTCAATCTTTTTTAAAATCCGTTATACACTTTTGTGTTGTGTTTGGATTGATTTCTGCATGATAAAAATAAATTATCTGAATCTGAATTTGAATACGCATACGCATCAATCATCAAAATGGCCAATCTGATAAGCATAGTTTCGTAGGCGACTTCTGCAATCCAATTTCAAAAAACGATGGAAGTCTATTACTTAAACATTTCGATAAATTTGAATGGAAAAGTCCATGTATATCTCACGGCTAGATTTATGAACTCTCGTTAACAGATGCAATAGTCCGCTAGTGCTCGGCTATTTTACGTGCTATCTATCATTTCAATATTCGTTGTACAACAATAACAGAGCAGAAGGTTTAATTCGCTATGTCTGAATATCTTAAAAACAGACGTATTGTATTCTTGCCAAATAAATGAAGCACTAAATACTTTGTGCATACCATATTCTTAACTATGTAATCATGAGCCTGTTTCCAGTTATAAAGTGAGGGGTAGTTGGTTACGTACCATTCAGGCTTTTTTCCCCTAACAGTCTAACACTCGACGAATGATGGGAATTTCATTTGAATTTGTCAAAATATTCAACTAGAATAGACTTCCATCATTTCTCAAACATGAATTATATAAAATAGATTTGAAACTAAGCTTATCAGTACCAGGTGAGGATTCATTTATTGGTAATATTCTCTTGTTGGTTGAGAGTAGACTAAGGTTTGCGAAATAAAACCATACAATGTTTTGGGTGCCAAGTTTTACAATACAATATGAAGACGAAGATATCGGAATCAAATTAGGGATTGGCCTAGCTTCGGATGTGGACTCGGGATCCGATTATAACACAGAACAAAAAAGGATCAACCCGAAGAGTAAGTTTATCAATAACAAAAGATAAAAGCTACAAAATCCTCTCAGATCAATGTTATAATCAATAACCAATAGAATGGTGAAATCTTGTCATTTATTCCAAAGTATTGCACATTTTTGAAGCGTTATATACTTTTCATTGCGCGAAACTGTGTCTCAAGGTTATATCTGTATTGTTCAATAATAGTCGCCACAACGCCCTTTAACGTTGCTTACGTACCCATTAAAGCATTCATATATTTTATTATTCGATCTGCTATACACCGTTTGAAAAGCCGAAATACATGAAAGCCAACATAAATATTATAATGACCCATTATTGTAAGGATATATTTTACTATTCTGTTTTTGTAGTGACCGGTCAGGAAGCAAACAGCATTGATTTAGCGTCAATAAATGAAATAACTTAATGAGGTGTAATTAATGCAATCGGAAATATTCCCAAATTTATTACGCCTCAAGTGGACGGGTTATTCTTCATATTGCATAGTTGCCATAAATTGTTGTTGCACATACATCCTTTATACATGTCTGATCATAAATCAAAGTGTGTGGGCAAATGATTTATTTAATATTTTTTTTCAAAAGTTTTCAATATTATTCATTTGTGGGTTTTGACGTCAAATATTTACATACATTTTATTCCAGCAAACCATTTAGCAATGGCAGTTGGTATTTTAGATTTTGGCGGTTCCGCTATAAAAGTCGAAAATGTTTTGATGAGGTACGGTAGACCAGCGAGCCAGCGATACTGTAAAAGATTTCATACCACCGTAGCGACTCGAATCATTTGGTATTTCGATTCACGCTGAGACTAGACACATGAATCATCATCGCCAGCACCGGGCCTGGGTAAGCTAGGACAGTCCGGGTACCGGTACTGGTAACACGGTATCTGTTCTTAGTTTGGTTCAGGATATGATTTTTGGGGTAATTGTGGTTAAGGCATTTAGTCTTGTACATGCATTTGAGCATCGCTCTATTGTCACACCGTGTACACATATATTTTTACCTGATCATTTCAAGGCATTCATTTAACCAGATTAATCAGCTACGGCAGATAACAAACATTTGCAATTTTGGAACTATTTATCAAATGTGAAAGATGTAATCCCAAATATAACCTCATTTCGTAATTACAATAATCTTTCTTTGATGTATCGCACTT